AACTCCTCTAAGACATGCACAGTCATAAGACACAATATGGAGCACAGGAAATTCTGGTCACGTATTAGGAAAATTTTTTTCCCCTGCATGAGTGGTCAAATGCTGGAAGAGCTTGCAGAACCTCTGTACTTGGAGGCATTCAAGACACTGTTAGACACAGCCCTGATCTAGCTTGTCTAAACAGACCTGCTTTGAGCAGGGTGATGGCGTAGACAACTTCTAGAAGTCCTTCACAAACATTCTTATGCATGATTCTAACTATAAGCAGAATTAAGATGATCTTTCAAATTAGCTAGTATTTTCAGACCAAAAAGCAAACAGAAACTACACTGCAATTCTGGAAAAAAACATATGCCGGACAGTCCATAAGTTCCTTTGCATGTAAAAACACATATAATTCTCAGTGTATACTGCTAAGTAATTCAAACAAAGCATTGTTAAAGCTAGATGTCTATATTGCTTTTTCTAAAAATATCAGGTAAAGGAGGAAAGCAACTTTTATGATTTTGAGCTTGCACAAATGTCTTTCAACACTGCAAACAAAATTAGAGCTCCAGAGATATTACTAGAGAACGCTCCCCTACAAATCAACCAGTTTATCCAGTGAGGCAGTAAGCAAAAACAAATTAAAAGCTACAAAGTTTTGCCACTGAATGCGTGATGTTTGTCCTGCTGTCTGAAGCAGAATAAGTAGTACTGACTAGAAAGCAGTGTCTACTAAACTCCAATAATGCCTGCAGTAAACTACCTTGAAAGGGTAAAGCAAGAAATACTGTAGCCCTACTGCTCATCCCTAAAATAAAAATGAGGTCTTCTTCATGCTATCTGGGTAGTGTTTCATAGAATGAGTAGCATCCAGAAAGCAACACTTTCAATAAGTACAAAGACAACAAATGATGGATACTGTCATATTACAGTCATTATATGCATAAATACTTGAGAAAAGAAAAATCTATCAGATTCCACAAGCCTGGTACACGCATAAAATAGAATACAGAATTAAAAACAAATCTCCCCTGCTTGACTCCTACAATTGTGTTTTATGAATTGAGCTTATATTAAAGCTATTGAGTCTCTGCATCAGAAGCCATTTCTCAAATCCTTGAAAAATGTGAGCTTAGTTGGTACTTTGTCTAGTTTTTCACTTCAGTATAAAATGGGATACATTATCTTTGAGTTATGTTAAGAATTCATTTACTACTTATAAGTGTCTGCAAAAAGCATAGGAAATTATATTGATCTTTTGAAGATCACAGCTTAAAAAGAAGAAAGAAAAACGGCTGCCTCTATTTGCATTTTCTTTTCTTCTTTGGCTAATAAAGTGTAGGTGATAGCACAAACAGTGAGACCATCTCCTACAGTGAGGCCATCTGTTATAGAAATTAAACAAAAATTGGCAGATACTGAGTTCCTACATTTTCAGTTGGTGTTTGTGTTTAACTCCCTGTGATCACCTGGACATTTTAATGGCTTTTAAGGAAATGAGCAGAAATACTTCTTAAGAGGAAAAATATTATATGATGATCAAAGTGGCTGGTGAGGCAAAGTTAGAAAACTTTCACATAAAAGCAGTTGTATGTGTTTGCCTCAGATTTCAGAATGCTTAAGGAGGGAAGGTTTAGATTGGATGTCGGGGGAAGTTCTTTGCAGAGAGGGTGGTGAGGTGCTGGAACAGGCTGCCCAGACAGGTTGTGGATGCTCTGTCCCCTGGAGGTGTTCAAGATCAGGTTGGATGAGGCCCTGAGCAACCTGCCCTAGAATCAGAACTGGAGGTTGATAGCCATGCCTATGGCAGGGGGGTTGGAACTTGATGATCCTTGGGGTCCCTTCCAACCCAAGTCATTCTATGATGCCAACTTTGATTCTGATTAACAAGACACCGTCAGTCACAGGATCACACATTATTCCTTTAAATTCTTGCAAACAACTCCCTGAGCAATTGCCAGCAATGGTAGCACCTCTGCACAAAACAGATTTAACCTTTTCTATTTTAATTCAACACACAGTGAAAGCAAGGACACTACACAAGCCAGACCCCTAAGAAGGGAGCAGAACTGTAAGCTGCCAGATGATAATGTATTTCCCAATTAACTGCAGTCAGTGCAGAGAGCAGGTGATGTATATCAGTACTCTACAAAAACCTGCAAGCCAGAGCAGATAGAATGGATGCACAATCCATCTTACCATTTGAAAGTGGTGACTTGAGTACCTGAAGTACAAGCATAGGCCAGACAGCCTTGTTATCCCCAGAACATTAAGATTATGGTGCAGACTCAGGCCAGCAGTGGATAAATAATCCCTAAGAGCTCTACTAGCACAGCTAGGACATTTGGCCGAGAAATAAATGAAATGTAGACATTATTCATCACCTTTTCCAGGAACTCTAATTTAAATTTAGCTCCCTACATGAAAATAAATAAGCAAATGCATGAAGTTTTCCAGCCAGTTGTAAACTAAGCTATCTACAGTGCAGCTTTAATGACTACAATATTTTACAGCAATCTTCTGCCCTTCTAAGGTAGTAAAGAAGCAGAACAGAAATAAGCTTTTATTTTTTTTTCTTTAAATCCTTCTTCAGCTGAGTAACTGCCAGTTTATGCATTGAATGCTGCTTCCACAGGTGTATAATCAAAGAACATTAGAATGTTACAATCACAAAATAAACAAGAGAGTTAGGCAAAGCAGACTACGATAACAAAAGAGAATAAATAGAAGGCTTAGGCTTACCCCCATCCTGAGCTCACCCACAAAACACCAGCAGAGCAGATCTCCAGAAGAGATCCTCCCCCTCTGGTAGCCAGCTCTTCAATAGGTCTAGGAGGACCTAGCCTGGCTCCATCCCTTCATTCCATTCATACAGGTGAATTGCCTTCACCTGTGCTCCTGTGGCTGCCTCATGGCTCGCCTCAGGTGATCAATCAGAGCTTCAGGCCGTGACTCAGCAGTTCCCATACACACAGGGTTCATTCTTAGCAATCTATTACCCAGTAACTGCAGTAGTAACAACAAACAAACAGCAAACATAGCACTTAGGTGAAAATTTGGAAATTTGGTAATACCTCTTGGCCTGTGAGAATATTTTTTTTCCAACATCAGCAGAATGTTGAAATTGACCTTCTTACACTTGTTTTCAATTTAAGTTGAGCTCGTTCAACATTATTCAAAAATAATGAGTGCAGGTAATTAGAGGAATGGTAGAAACAGGACTATTTTGAAATCACATATACAAACATTCACACTTTTGTCTTGGTTTCAGTTGGGATAGAGTTAAGTTTCTTTCTGGTAGCTGGCATGGTGCTGTGTATTAGATTTAGAATGAATATAACGTTTTAGCTGTTGGGCAGTACTTACACTAAGTCAAAGACTTTACAGCTTCTGGTATTGCCCTGCCACCAAAGGGAATGGGGTGCACAAGGAGATAGGAGAGGACACAATCAGTACATCTGACCCAAACTGACCACAGGGATGTCCTATACCATATGATGCCATGCTAAGCAATCGAGCTGTGAGGAGCTGAGCAGGGTTTTTTTCTATTTCCTTCTTTCTAATTTTTTTTTTTTTTTTAATAAAAATGCCTTCGGTTTTTTAATATAATCTGGACAATGCTTATAATATTATCCAGTAGAATTGTAAGAAAACTGTAGGTAAGGTATTTTATTTCCTCTGACATGTGAAAGTTGTCTCAAGATATTGTACAGAATAAAATATTAATATCGATTTCTATAATAAAAGCCACTTTTTTTAAAGGTCTGTAGCTGCCTGCATTATTCTTTTTTACCTTTTTGAAGTATTAGTTTTATAATTTTCCACTCCATTTTTTGGAGTATTTTCCTACAACCCCAGTTGCTCAAATATCATTGTTAATGATGGAGCAAATTACTTCAACTAATTCAATCTGTACACTGTGATCTGCACAATCTGGACTAAATTTCCCAATGATTTTGCTGCCTTTATTTATTTAATCTTTGTCAGGAGCTATTAGTAATTTTCTATGTTCCTCAGTCATTTATAATGTTGAAGGCATATTTATTCCCCTGACTTTTGTCTTGAGGAACAGTGGTACACTGGTTTATACATGCACAAGATTCCCAGTGACAGAAATGAAGTTCAGCTGCATTATACAAGAATATGACTCAACTTCAGTTTCTATCTCTAAAGAGACATTCGGGGTAACGAGGCATGGCTACACATTTATTTTTCAGTCATCTCACATGAGAAACTTCTCATGAGAGCAAAACTAGAAAGGACTCCTTGACACCGAGAATATGAAAAATAATTGTAAAAATGTTTGCATGAATCATACATTCTACCCCAAACGCCAGGAAGGATTTTCTTTATATACATATTTAAGAGGGCATAAACTGCCCCAAATATTTTTTTAAGGTTATGCAAGATCTTAAATTTTCATTTCATGTTTCCTGGGGTGAAATTTCTGCTTTCATTTACAATGCATTTCCAGTGAAATATTAAAAAAGAACTGTGAAAAATATTATAACTAACAGTGCACTTAATTGTTGACTAAGGTAAGTCACGAGGAGAGGTCTGAGACACAAATGACTGGTTTCTGATCTACTTCTCCAAAGGTCAAAAACCATAAAACATGTATGTTCAACTGCCTTATTACTGTTGTGGTACAGAATCTGTACATCAAATGAAGAAAACGGACTAGCGCATGCAGTAGCTGTTATAGGCAGAGGTAAATGTGGCTGACAATCAGTTATAATGGTTCACGTGTCAAAAGTTCAGGAGCCACTTCGTCAAAAAATACTACACACACGGTGTGCAACAATTAGCAAAATATATCTAGATGAAAAAAATGAATATTAAACAACCGAAATGCTGAGAGCTGCCAACAGAACTGTATGGGTTAATAGGTGTTTTTTAGAAAGCCTTTTCAGACACAGCCTCCAAGGTTATTGTGTTATCTATGGATCAGTTGGTAAAATGCCTTGCCAATGAATGTAAGGAAGTTTAAAGCTGTTGGCTTTCGCCTACCGTACCAAGATCAGTCTTAAGATCTGTTGGCAGACTTAACTTTCTTGATCCTTTAACTGAAACAACAGAAAAAGGAGAAAGGCAGTTGTTAATAATTAACAAAGAAAAAGGAGCGAGGGAAAACAACACGCCACCTTCTGGTTAACATGCTGAACGTTTGTAGCATATATATTTTTAAATCAGCACATAAAAGCAGAATAATGGTTTAAATATTTTCATGTACACCATTCAGAAAAACAAATGTAACCAGACAAAAAAGTCCTTGCAAAACATTACTCCAGCTCTCAATAAATGAATGGTATACATAGCTTTGGCTGTGTGCTGCAATATCTTACCTTGAGATGACAGGAATGATAAAAAAAAAAACCAATCACAAATGAGACTGAGGCAGATATTGCAAATGCTGGTTATACAGCATGTCACAAATATTTAAACATCTGGAAACCAATTTATTTAAGAGGGCGCAATGAAATGATGAGTTCTGATGAGATCATACTCAAGGTATCATTTGAAAAAGAGAGGGCATATTGTAGTGGTAATGGAGACAAAACACAATATTTTATAGACTACAGAACAGAAACAAAATACAGCAGCTTCAGGATAAAATGTAGTGTTATTCAGACATCAAAATATTGCACTGAGCTTGCTGAAGATTTAATTATCTGTTGCGTTTTGAATACAAAACTATTATTTTGCTTCTGTTCAAAAATGTTTTCATTTCCTTAGACACGAGCACATCTTAAAACAATGAACACCAGAGAACTGAAATGAAGCATGTCTTGTAGCAGTCAAAAAGTATTAAATTTGTTTAAAAAATGCCTTAAGAAATCTTTTATTATTTACTCAGAAGACTTCATTTCCAATATTTTCTTTTATTCTTTTATTTTGTCTTCATGCAGTTTTTTTCACATTGTTTTCTGGCTTTTGCCTCTTATACAGTCTGTCATTGGTAGAGAACAACGAAGTATTTGTTAGCTAATTATTCTCCTTCTAAGAAAAAAGTCCTACATAGTTAAGTGTAATAGTGATAGGAACACTGGGACATATGAATGTAAGGAACAAGTCCTTTATAATTTCTATTTAATAAGCTTTTAGGTCAGAAGGATGCCCAGAACAACTGTTTACCATTTCAAGTCAAAGAGCCCCTGAAAGAATCTTACAATGTCATACACTACAGAACCTGCAATTTGGCAGATGAAAATATCATATCTCACCTATGATTTTTTGGTTTGTCTCCCGGAAAAGAGTTGAGGAGCCTTTCTGACTCCTGAGCAACCTTTTGATATCAACAGAAGCAGCACAACCCTTATGTCAATCCATTTCTGGGTATCACTAACTGGATGCTTTAAAGCAAAGTGAGGAGATCTCTTCAGATCAATCCAACATAAAAATATACATTCCTAATATCACAGTGGTGAAAATTCTCTAATTTTGATACCAAGTGTTTGGATTGTGTATCCATTTTAGGCACTAACACAAAAGCCAACCAAATTTTCCGAAAGAGACTTTTAAAAGCATTCCATTCATCTGAGAGCTGTCATATACTTTCACACTGAGAACAGAGGTTACTTCTTCACAAAACCAGTGCCTTGCTATACAGGAAAAAAACGCACTTGCAATATAATCACCTTTTGTTTTCAGGAAGTGACAACATCTTGCCCAAGCAGCCTCTCCAAAAAGGATTTCTAATTCCTAAGGAAGGTTGTAGGGACCACACTCTAAATTGGGATATTTTGGAACTATAAAACCTAACTATATTTAACATTAAGGGAACCTCATTAGTGCTGTCATCAAGAGAGCTTTGGGCTTAATAAACAGGTGGCTTAAGCTCTTTTACTTCAGTATTACAGCTATGCCTGTATAACAGGATTCTTTTTTTACAAACTGTCTTTTTTTCCCGACTTTTTTCAAAGCTATTTTCAAACTGTGTCATGTATGTATGAGCTGGGAGATTGCAGAAATAGCTCCCAATTATCTGTGTGCAGGCTTATGCAGGAGGCACAAAGAAAGTAAACCTTTTGATTCTCCTGGACTCAATTTGTGAGCTCCTGCAGCTGCTCCCAGACAAAACAGACATACTAGACTGAATGCTGCAAACTAACAGGCACAGGACGCTGAAAGAACTGTAGCTGGGAAAGGAAGGGAGCAAAAATCTGATGGCTATGAGCACAAGGATAGTATAGGCATCCTGATCTTGAAAATATGGGTAAAAGAGATGCATGGGTGTGGGATTCTTTTGTAGAAGGGAACATGGTAAGAAGGTTAAAGTAGAAAGGAGACACACAGCATTAGGAAATGAAGGAATCATAGAATCATAGAATGGCCTGTGTTGAAAAGGACCACAGTGATCATCTGGATTCAACCCCCTGCTGTGTGCAGGGTCACCAACCACCAGACCAGGCTGCCCAGAGCCACATCCAGCCTGGCCTTGAATGCCTCCAGGGATGGGGCATCCACAGCCTCCTTGGGCAACCTGTTCCAGTGTGTCACCACCCTCTGAGTGAAAATATTCCTTCTAATATCTAACTGCTAATCCCTGACATACACATCCTTTCTTGAGATCTTAAGCAAGCATTTATCCATCCGATCAAAAACACTGGAAAAGAGTGATAAAATGTGTCCTATGCTCGCTCTAGGATCTCGTTAACAACTTCTAACTAATAAACATCCTTTTTAATGTAATGTAAATAAGTAGAAATGGTTACGTTGGCACATAATTATATTGATAATTGATAATCATGTTTAAAAAAAAATTACACTGTTTTCACACACACAATGTTTTTGAAATGTATGTATTATTGTGGAAAACAAGCAAGCAAGCAATTTTCAAATGGAATCAAATCTCTTCAGCTACCCTGTCATTACACAAAAGTTGAGAAGGAGTGACTATTAAAAACTTCAAAGTGTTATTCTTGAAACTAAGCTATATAGAAAGCACTTCCTGTAGGAAAACAGGTTGGCATGGTGTGGGCCTCATCTGTTCATGTCATGAGTGCAATAAATGAAGACAATAGCACCTGGAAGTCATAAGAACCATTAATCTTGCCTTAAGAACCTGTTCCAAAGCTAAGAGAAATCAACTGTGGAAGTCTTAATGCAGCCTTCTCTAAGCGCTACAGTCTTAAACATATGTAGCTTGCTACAGAAGTAATGCTTCCTATTTATTTATATGGAAACTCCCATGTATACAAAGAGCACAATAACAGTATTTGACAGCACATTCTCAGCTACAAAATACTCTTCTTGGACATAGTTACTACCATTAACTATGCTTTTTCACCTGCAATGAGCATGTTGCTACTACTGAAACACACAACCCACAGCTCCACTTGTGTTGACATTCACTGTTAGGTCTCCATAAATGTTCGGCAAGAGTCAGTGAATGCCAATGGGTGCCATTTTTTCAGCATGGAAGAATTTAATTACACACCTCTGCTTCATACACACTCCCATGACAGATGCCATTCTATCAGACTGCCCCTCTGCTGCCATGTATCACACAGCAACAAAATGTAATAGAATATTGACAGGAAGGTTCAACCTCTACTGCCATGCCACCAACATCTGCCTCTGGTGTTGAGGGCCAACATAAGAAAACAGGAGATATTACTTTCAGAACAGCCTTCTGGATATGAGCCACCAATATGCAGGTGATTTCTTAAGAATAAACACAAATATATTTTTGTTTCAAAACTCGTATTTCAGAAGTTGCTCTCCCAGACATGGACCAACTACATTCTTTCTTTCTAATCTTTGAAAGAAGTCTATATCATGTAAAGTGAAATGGGCAATTATGTGAAACGGCCTCTCAAAGATGTATTTCCTTGTGCTCACCTCACTGTGTTCTCAGCTACATGCTGAAATACAAAATGGCTAAAAGAAACAATACAGTAAAACTGTATTTCTAAAAGCCTCTGAATAAGTCTTCTTTATTTGATGATAATAACAAAGCTTAAGTTTATTCTGGTGGGTACTGTTTTGCAATACACCATATAGTAATTAACTCCAACACTGGATAATCACTAACACTGTAAGGGCTTATGAGGCCTCAGAGAGTTTTTAAAAATTGTATTTTGGAAAGACTGAACCCTCTGAATCCATCATGGAATTAAGGAAGTACAAAGCCCTAGCTTTTGAGCTGAAAATCACAAACGACCATCAAAATGCTTGACATTCTACATCAAAAGAATATGGTATGCATGAGTAAGAACAAGGTATTCTGATGGTCCTAAAAAAGTTCACTTCCACTTTCCTTAATATGATCTGAGACTTTTTTAAAGCCAATCAAATACCATTATATGACATGTTGTATTGCATGATCATGCCCATGAAATACTTGTTAAAGACAAGTTTTTTATTAATGTTTCTCATTTTGCTATTTTCAGAAGCGTTCACCTACACATATACTGTTATATTTGCTATGCAATTTACTTACAATGGAAACTGCCACCTCTCAGACATTCACAAACAAGGAGAGTTTTAAAAATGGATCTATTGACTCCTTGTCTTCCTGTACAGTATTGGAACTGCATTATTATATTATTTAAATGGTAATTAAATTAGAAGAAGATAACAGTGTTTAAGAAAGACCATTCTTTTCCTCTGTCTATCATGCTTAATATGAAAGCCTGATTATTTCCTCACTTGCTACTATCCCTGTGTGGCAATGCAACCAATTTCATGTTCTAGACTGAAAAGTGTAATTTTTTCACTTTTCAATGCAAAGCCATGCTTTCCCAAATTGTACAGGTCAAATACTTGAAAAGACAGCTTTATTGATCAAGTTTAAAGTATTGCTTAATGGAAGAAGTTTGATTTGTTCTGAACTAGAAAACAGCCCTGCAAATACAGTAAGGATTAATTTTCAGCATTATGTCATTTGCTCAGTACTCTAACACTCACATCAGCAACAGAACACAAATGCCTAATTTTGACTTGGCAAAATAAACAAAACTGAATTACTGAGTTGACACTGGGTCTTACTGTAGAACCTCAGCTAGAGGTTAAAATATCAACAAGCAGTAGGATGTTAGAGGCAACATAGGTTTTTCAGGAAAACAAAGAAGGTCAGAAAGTCCAGGTAGACTAAGCTATGTTCAGGATCAGATCAAGAGATGAGCAGGCAAGAGATTAAGTTCTTGAAAAAGCCTTCATTGACACTGTTCTAGGGGCCTAGCTGGAACTGAAACCAGACCAAGTTACTAACAGCTTTCTTGGAAGTAAAATTGTTTGTATCTACACCAGCAATTAGAATGCTAGAGCGATCCTTCCTGAAGATTGCTTTGTGCTTGAGTCAGTGCAGTGTAGCTCCCTGTATCATTCCTGTTGTGATGAAGCCAAGGATCAAGTTGCTCCCCTCTATGCCAGCAAGAGTATGGTGTTTGTCATGCAGACTTTTAGCCCTCAACTGTATGTAATCTGCGTATGTATGCATACTCAAGTCAGCAGCAAGCATGAACTGCACTGACAGTGAAGATCTGACACTGATATGGCCTGCTAACTGTAGAGAATTGCAATAAATCAGTCGCATCAGCTGGTGATGTAGATACACCCAGTGTGAATCTCACTGGGCAGCAACTTGAACCATAAGACTTATTTCCAACTGCCCTTTCTGTTTAGGCTAAATTTCTGAAGGATTAAGTGTTAAGTCTATCCTTAATAGAGATACACGGTGGCTGGTTTTACAAAGATATCATGGAGTATAGCACCATTTAATTACAGAGTTTGCATACCATGAACTTTAAAGATATCAAAGGCAAGACTGGAAGCAAAAGAAGCCTGTCAAGTAAATCCATTATTACACATATCAACCAGTTTTATCATATGATGGGAGAAATACTAGCCAGTGCAAAACAAATGTGGTTGTGAGGATGTGTTCAGAAGCACAAGGTAGTACTACTTCCAGATGCTTGGTGGTCACAATTTTGAGGTTGGTTTCTACAAGATCCATGCTTGATGTACACTTAAAAAATAATTATTATCAGCCACAGTAAAAATAATTTCTATTTTTAACCAGCAGTTAATTTTGCAAAATGTTAAGTATTCAAATATAGCTTGAAGGACACAAAAGGCTAAAACCAGAAACAATCTTAAGTTAGACATTTTTCCTTGCTGCATGTCCTCCAGAGCTGAAAAGCAGAATTAACTGCAGAGCAAATCAATAAAATTTTGTATAAATTTGGTATTTTTGATCAATCATGGAAGGAAAAATCAATTGATTTTCTGCAGAAAACATAAGATGCTATGGACTTCATTCATTATAAAACTAATCACATGCACATATGTTTACCACATCAGTGATCTCTTAATTTTCAGTAAAAAGGAGAATGTGTACCCTGCTTCCAGAGAGAAGTCTGAAAGGATGGATCCCAGTAGTCCAGGAAATAAATGGTCTAATTTTACTGAGTCATCATTTAAAAAAAAGAGGTCCTTATAACAAGTTTCTGAGGCAACCTCAAGAGTCAGCCCCTACGGCTTTATCAATACTGTTTCACCACTAAGATATCCCATGTCTATAGTGATTGGGTTGCAACAAAAGGAAATGTACCTTTATTACAAAACAACTGTTTTTATTTTAGTTCTTCACGTGTCATGTGAACATTTTTTTTGCTTCAGATTTTTGTAGATTACTAAATACTGTGCTACATTAGAGGTGACTGTGTCCCATTAGAATAAAATATGTGAATAAAGGATTTGAATGGCACATTTCTGAGAAATGTTTACAGTAACTAAGGAAAAAAAAAGTATCTACCAATATTTACCAACTTAGAAGGTAAAGAACTGTGATATGCACACCATAAACAAAATTAATGTATCAAAGCTACACATGCTTATTTTCTATCACACTTAAAAGTCAACTATTAGAAAACAATTCTAAGCAACCAAGTTTAAGACACCGAATTCACATTAAAAGAGATCAGTGCAGACCAGTCTCTAGGAATGTGAATGTGCTGAACTCCACATTCTGCAGGACTACAGGCAAGATTAGAAACATCTGTAAACTTTTAAATGGCCAGGGTTCCAGGGCAGGGTCCAACTGATAATCTAGTATTTTTTGTTTAAGATTATGTTTCCACTGTAAATTACAACACTGAGGCACTGAAGGGTTCTTTTCAAACAATTTTTCTATACGCACGTATGTGTTTTGACACACAGTCATAGGGACTCCCTATTAAAATACAAAGCCTTTTATGAAAACAGAGACAATTCTCTGACGAAAGTGCTGAGTTCATGTGAGATATAAGATATGCCTGAACTGCATCAGCTCCAGTGTTTACATACTCTTCACTTCAAGATGCCCCACGTATTAATAACTTTTCTTTAAATGAACATATTTTGAATTCCATTGCACTATATAACAAGCACTTCTCCAGTTAATTCTTCTCTTTGGATCTGTGATTATACACTTCACTTCTTAGGGATTAATAGAATACAGTGATGCACGACATGAATGGCTTATACAGACTGCAGGAAGAGAAGCCAATCACCTTTACCTGAAGTGGGAGACTTGCAACGCTCTAGCTCCAGGGAAACTGGACTGTCACTGAGTTCAGTCAGGCCTGAAAAAATGGAGTTAAAAAGTTAAGTTACAATCTAACAGGGCATGCTTCAGCTTTCTTGGTCGATGATATTCTGCACTTCAAAGCCATAGTGGAGAAAGGAGCAGTGTGAAAAGTGAGGGAAATACCTATTTCAGAATAACTGTAGTTATCAGGCTGTCCCTACAGAAATTTAGGTCTACTTCAAAAATCACACCTCTTGTTAACTCAGATTTGTTTTCCAAGTGCCTCAGAGTAGACAAAGAGTCTCTGTACTTTGTGTAGTTTAAAATTCAAATCTTTGTGATTTGTATAAAAATCAGTCTTCCCTGAGCAAGAAATGTGGAATCAGCTCTATACTTTCATGTGCTGCACAATGCACAGCAGAAACCATAAAATGGGGTGAGGAGGGCATGAAGAGGAATTAAAAAAAAAAGAGTGAATACTTGTGCAAGAAGAAAGTGAATAAAAGAATATAATCACTACAACACTAGAATCTTAGAAGCATTCACAGAAGACTGCTCATTTTAAAGAGCACAGAGGTGATGGTATTATCTGAATGTAACAGGGAGTTTTTCGGACAAGACACCTTTCACATCATTTAGAAAAATTTATGAGGAACTCATCTGCAGCAGTCTACCATGGAGCAGAGCAGCAAGTAGTATAATCCTAGCTTAAACTGCTTAAGCATGAGCTTGTGTTTGTGATCAAACTAAAACCCATCTTAAACACAGATTGGGCATGTTTGAGCTCATGCTATAATCTACCATGGGCTGATGGTTGAGTGTTTTTGTGAGGTATAGATACATACAATGAAATACTAACACTGATTCTTTTCCAAATGCAGTACTGGAGTTTCCTAAAATTTGACACTATGGATATGGATTAATGAAATGATTCTAAGTTCTGTACAGTTACTCTTGGCTAAGTTATAATCATAGAACAGCTTGAGTTGGAAGGGACCTCAAGGATCATTAACTTCCAACCCCCAGTGCCAAATCCCAGGTAAGATTTTGCTTCTGAATAGAAAGTATTTATTTGGAAGTTTACATAATCAGTATTACAGCTCAAGGTACACTGGTGCCACTGACTTATGTAGGAAAAGCACCAAATCACACCACTGTTCTGAAAGAAAAAAAACAACCACCTTGAGAAGACCACAATCTCTACATGTTTGGCAAAAGTTTAAAATGCATTTCATATTACGACATTTTTGGAATGGTGAACATGCACTTTTCTACGTCTTACTTTCCACTTTCTACTTTTCTATCTCTTATTTTTAGTGTAGGAATTTATATGTCCTCCAAAAGCACACTGTCTTAGTCTTGAACACTTCGATTTGCTTAAGTACTGTCACTTGCAAATTTTCCCCTGGCGTCAATCACCCTTGCTTAGAAACACTGAGTTCTACTTATCATCCATCTATATATCCAAAGTTTCTTTTAACCTTATTGAATTAACAATAGAGTCATAAAGTCATAGAATCATATGAGTTAGGAGGAACCTTTAAAGGTCATCTAGTCCAACTCTCCTGCTATGAACAGCAACATTCTGCTAGTTCAGGTTATTCAAAATCACCGGATCAGAAACACTGATAGTACAAATAAGTGCAGTTCCAATAATGCGATATAGTTGGGATTCTTTAACTTTTTATACTTTCTGGTCCATAACTTATAAATGGGAAGGAAGGATGAAAAAATTGAAAACTAATTTTTCATCTCCCAACTAATGCTTCATGACAAAGTAGTAAAAGCTCTGAATCCATCTCTTTGCCTTCCCTTTCATCAAACTGCCTTCCTGCTCTGGGAAACAATCCATTTTCTCCTCCCAACCACTTTCTACTTGTCATTTTGCCTAGCCATGGAAGAAAATCTTGTGACTCTGTAATCTCTAAACTCATGTAAGCTGAGAGAGAAGATGAAGATGTTACATGACATTGTATAATCTGCAATCATTCACTGAAAGGAATAAACACGTCTGAATTTTTATTGATCTTTGATTCCATTGAACACTGGAGATTCTCTTGAGATAAGAAAGGAAGCTCTCAAGCTCTCATTTGTGCTAGGGCTTATTTTCTAATTCCCTTTTTAAGGAAACCATTTTAATAATATCTCATATGTATTTCCATGCAGTTTGGTTTCGCTCAAATCCTTGAGAGGCTACAACTGATATCATATTAGGAAACACTTTCAATTCTTGCTTTTAAGTTCTGTAGGACCAACCTCTGTCCCAAGATATTTTTGCTGAAATTAGCAAAATTTTGAGACCAACTACTGTAAGAAGAACATGGCAGCAAACTAAACGCAAATAACTGAGTTTGGGAATTGAAACAGACAACTGTCAGAAGATGTACCCATTGACATTATTTTGCTTTGAAAAAGTTATAAACATAAAAATTACACAATAGGTAAGTATACTTTCTGAGGCATAAGGCAATTTTAAAGACAGCTCATGGATCCTTTTCAATCACTTTTACTGTGATTCCCATTTTTTCTTTGTTAAATAAACAAAAAAATTATTAAAGGATCAAAAATGTAATGTCTAGTACAGAATAGTAACATTTATGAAATAATACTAATTTAAAATAATTTTAAAATTTGAATCTCTGAGTACATGATTCAGACTTTCAAGTCTTTAAAGGCATCCAAGCCATCACATTTTTTGTTACAATTTAATAAACTATAAACAAATTCTCATAAATATTCACAAGCCAATAAGTAAACTCAGTATCATACTAATTCATAAGTCTCTACACTGAATTACCATGCTGTTTCTTTTACATTTAAACATGATGCATTCTTTGGAAATGGCAGCTTGTTCAGAACATACAAGTTAACTTAAATCTCAACCTAGATTAGCTTCTACTGTGTTGACATGTGTCATTTAAAGTGTTAATTACTGATAAGTAATGACTCGTAACACAGTGTTCTGTTCTTCCTTTAGCAACAAGGTTACTTCTGCTCTCATCCTCTCAAAGGACAGGCCTGAAGGAGGAACAGGTATATCTCAGTGAAAACTATGAATTCTGAAAACTATTTTCCAATGGATAAATATAATTTTAACCTGTTGCCTCTTTGGATGCTTCATAAAGACTATTTTCTTGTTTTACTGACAGATGGTATGAATTTCTATTGATGGTATGAATTTCAATTAGAAGGTCAAACTGATTTTGTAAGTTTGTAGTTTTATGTTCCACTGCAAGTACAATCACTCAAGATGGAGGAAATGTATTTGTTTTAATATTGAAATATATGCTATCTACTCCTAGGCAATAACACATACAACTTAATTTTGACTGGTTAAGGGAAAAAAAAGCCAACACTCTTCCCCCTTAGTTCAGCACTACTTCAGAGAAAATTTATTTTGTGTTGGCATATAGTCTTGCTACAAATGAAGATGGCTGCCAGCAGATGTAACAAAAAAAAAAAAAAAAAAAAAGAATGGGGCCACCAAACACAAGAAGTGTTTACATTTTCAGCCTCTCTCATTACAATATGTCTAGAGTTTATTACATTTCCTTTTCTACCTTTTCAACCCTTACTTGTCCCTTTCCATTTCCACCTTCCAACCCACAGAATGTTTTGCCTTAATACTCGTAAGTTTGCTCTGGGCCCTTTTGAGTTTGCTTCATGCAAGTATATAACAGATTAGCTACATTTCATAATAAGTCCATCACTGAGCTTCATATATCAGATGACCTTGTCATTGTTGATCATCTCTTTCCTTTGACAAATCTCTTACATTCAGGACATTGCTTTTTCCCCCTGCTTGATGTTTTTTTTGCCACTCCTTCAGTTGCAAGACACCTCAGACTGAAACATCAACCTTTCCTTTATCTCGCTGTCCAGAATGATCTTGTGTTACCCTAATGATATATATATATATCTTGATATATACAGATATAGATATATATAGATATATATCTAATGATATATACATCTCTTCTATGTTTACTTCCACCCAAGTTTAAGTAGTATTCCTGTCTTTCTAAACCTTACTCACTAGTGTCCAGAACTCAATATTGCCAGTATAATCTTTTTTTTGGAATATTCTTGGAATATCAAGCTAACTCTGTATACAAAGACTGGGTGCAAAATCAGTTTCTTGCAGAAAATTACCTTCAAAATGACTAACAAAAGTATATTGCTTATTGTCCTTGTTTCAGCTGGGACAGAGTAGATTTTCTTCATAGTGTCTGGTGTAGTGTTGTTTCGGCTTTGGGAAAGAACAAGGTTGATAACACACTGATATTTCAATTGTTGCTAAGCAGCACTGTACAAAGCCAAGGATGTTTCAGTTTGTCAGCTTCTGATACTGCCCTGCCAGCAAGAGGACCGGGGGCACAAGGAGCTGGGGAGGGAACAGAACCAGGAGAGCTCACCTAACCTGGCCAAAGTGATATTCCATACCATATGACTTCATGTGAAGATAAACTATAAAACTCAGGGGAGCTGGCTAGAGGGGCAGCAGCTCCTTGGGGACTGGCTGGGCATCGGTTAGTAGGTGGCAAGCATCTGTTTCACACACCATTTGTTTTGCATACGTATATTATCATTACTGCTATTTCTCTCTTCCTTTTCCATCTTACTAAATATTCTTTATCTCAACCTATGAGTTCTGTTTTTTCTCCCCTGATTCTTCCTTCCATTCCATTGGGAGGGGGTCATGAGAGCAAATGACTGTAGGGTGTTTATCTGCTTACTGGGTTAAACCACAACACAGTCTTTTTTTTGGCTTCAGTGAATACTAGTCTGATTCTCTCAAACTGACCTTCATGAAATTATCTTCCTAGCTCATTATTTTAATTGAATCAACTCCTGATATGCCTTCCCATTAACTTCAATTTTCATTCATATAATCCTCAATACTGTAGACCTACTGCTTACAATATCACAACTATTCCTGTTTTCACCTTGATAATATCAGTTTTGAGCACAGCTTCAACAATGCTTTTCTTTTCCTATCACTGCCCTTTACAAGAATAAGCCTGTGATCATAATCCTAAATCCATCCTCAATAACGTTCCTAAAACTCCTCTCTCTCATAAGAGTAGCAAAACTCAACTTGAGAATTACATAGCAATCGGAGATATTCTTAACTACTGCTCATTAGCTAAGATACTTCATACTCCGTAACACATTTTTGCCTTGTTCTTAGTCTTAATGGTCTGAAAGATGCACCAGACAATCAGTACATATTCCTATGTAAGTATCAAATGACAAAGGCAAAAACAAAACACTTTTTGAGGAAAGAGAGTTAATAATGCTTATGAACTACAGTCAAAATTGTAGACTTTGGCTATGCAGTATATAGAAACCTTTTAGGGTTGAATATAGAAACAAGATCAGAAATATTAAGCTCTTAAAACCTGTGAGCTGTGTTTGTTGTTGTGGATGAACATGTTGGACTCATTGGTCCTTTTCTGTCTTAGACTTCATTAATATTTTTGTATGGCTTTTTTGTTGTTGTTGTTTGGTGGAAATTCATAAACCTCTGACTGCAGTTTGCCCCCTGAGTTCTAATTTATAGACTTGTAATTAGAAAGACCTGACCAATAAAATATAAAACATTATACACCAGTCCTTTTTTCGGTCTGCTAGATTTCTAACTGGCCTGGTCTTCTAACTAAATAGACTACTTTTTATGAAGTACTATGACACTAAATCACAGAAATTCGTTGCTAAATTATCTAGATAGATGAAATGTCATTTTCTTCTGTGAGCATACAAATGTACTTCAACAACCATACAACCACAACCACAACTATGTATTTATACGAAATACTAAAACAACTGTCACCCCTCTCTTTATCTCGCCTGCACTGAGTATTCAATGTAAAATCACCTGTCCAGTTGTTCTGCAAAAAACACTTTAAAAAGAAATGAATAAGAGGCATCCTGGAGACCTAATTACATATAAGCACTAAGTCAATTAAGATACATACAGATTGTTGGTTGAACAGTCATTTCTGCAAAATTAATTATAGCTTGTTCATCACGTTGTGCAGTGATGAATGCTAATATTTAAATTACATATCGCTATAGTCCAAAATTTTAAAATATAAAAACCATTAATTTTCATAACTCTTTGATGTACGTATTTTTATACCCACTTTACATTCCCCATTAAAGATCAGAGCCATGGGATGGCTCCCCAAAGCCAAATATTCAAGTACCAGACCAAGATTAACATTCAAAATTTCATAGCATGCAACCCAATTGGCAGATTTTTAAACAGCATTGCTCTTCTGAGAATAGGGAAGAATTAATTAATAAGTATAACCAGGCAGCGCCATTGAAAAACAAGAAATGCTTCATATAAGTAGGTGCACACTGAAATGAAAATGAAACCAAAGAAAATACTCTCATCAAGATCACAACATTATTGAAAACTCATTTCTAAGGCCAAATTTGTCCCATATAAGTCAATGATGCTTTCTCATTGATTGTTTTGGAAGAGGAAAACAGATCTGAAATATCTGCATAACAAAGAAAACTGTCAAAATGAAGCATGGTTGACATTACAAAGTGTAATAAACTGCATGCATGCTGAATGTGTTTCGGAAACACATTACAAAGCACAAACACATGGGTTTAAGTCAGGCATAGTCTCATCATGATAATGCTATTTGCCTAACCTTTATAGAACTTACTCTGATAGGAAGTACGGATCCGTTTCGTTAAATCTGGATAAAAGTTAGACAGGCCACGCATGCAAAAGTTGTCTTTGGAACATGCCAGTACACCAGCATCAGCAGCAGGCAGAGGAAAGAGAGAAAAAAACAGTCTAAAGTGAAAGGAAGTGATATCCATAACCAGCATCTAGAACAGCCAAGGTGAAGAAATTTCAGCAGATGCTTACCTTCCAATTGGGAGATATAACAATAAAAATAACCAAAAAAGTAAAAGATGTAGGATGGATGGTGAGAAAGCAGCTGAGGATCATTTTTCGGATGCATAGTTTCTATGACCAATCTAGAAGAGCATATTCTTTCTTGGCAGTCACCCAGTACATACCAGCAGACTCCATTCTGGCAGCACAACTGGAATACTGCCTTAAAGGAGTAGCCAAAATTGTCCCTGACACATAGAAATCCTGCATGGTGCAATGCTGATAATAGCTGTTTCTACAACAGTTATCCTGTAATTTCTGTACACAGCTCAGCATCATGTTGCCTATGTTTGGCTGTTCAAATTACACTGGGAGATGAAGAAAGCTTAAAGCTGCTTGTCTCCTCTTTCCTCAACTGTTCCAAATTTACATCCTTAACACTTGGCACGATGAGAACTAAGCTTGCAATGATTAAATGCCTAGAAAGTGAGATAAGTGGTCTTTCAGGAATGGAAGTAGGGCTGAAGACTTACTTTTTATTCTCCAAATATTTCTTTCTACTAAAAGTACAATCATACTGAAAATGAAAAAAAGTTTATATGGACTCTGTGGAGAAATAGGATTTGATGATTTATTGTAGGATCTGCTGATGAAAATGCTAATGTCATAAAACCACTGTAATATCCTGCTTTTATAATTTTATATGTATATTTAAAACATTCAACGTTTCCAAACAGACTTTAAAATCTAATTCTGAAATTCTGCAGCTACATAAATTATATTTCATAACTCTCTCTGACTCAAGTACGTTATTATGGCATATGCAGAGCTAAAAGGTTTTGGTTTTTCCCCTTATACAAGTTAATTTTTTAGATAATCAAAAATGTCTGGCAAAATTTAACTGCAGTGATGAACTGATGTTTCTAACATTTAATACATAATAATAGCTGTGAATTACAAATGTGATCCTCTTGGCATCAAATTTAAGATTTGGTACAAGTGTATTTAGTAAATTTATATTAGGAGCTAACAAAGTGGCTGACTGGAGTTAGTTTTGCTATCTAAATAGCAGGTACCCAGCTATTATTTCCCAATCACAACTACCTATTCAATTAACAATGAATAACACTTAGCAGAAAGTACAACTAATTTTAAACTCAAGTCTTACATATTTACTGAAAACAGAAAGAAAATAGCAGACAAAGACTACGCTTGAAGACTACACTTCAAGAGACTGCCAGAGAAGCAGTTTATTTCTCTACTTATGATTTTTAGAGACTCAGGAAAGGGAATTACTTGCTGACTTCCATCCCAAAATAATAAACTTCCTGACATTTTTTGCTTGTGAGAAAAAGTATCAGTACTTAAAGCACATCGGGTTTCTTCTGTCAAGTTATAGAAATTCCATTGGCTGGCAGATAGTCATGCATGTCAAAAGCACTATAAAAAGCCACAGGCAAAAAAAATCAAAGAATGTCAAGCTCATAACCACAATATTTTAATTTCTACCTGCAGCAAACTGCTTGCTTTTTCGAGGTGAACGGGGCTGGCGTTGGTACGGATCACTCGATCCGTACAATTCAAGGGTTCCCATGCTCAGTAGTACGCTCTTTTGCATGAAGTCCACAACAGCCAAACCATTGCAGTTTCCAAATGCCACTCTGAGGAAAAAAAAAGAAAAAACAAAGTTCCTCAGAGGTATTAGTAATATATAGTTAAGTGGTGCAAAAAATAATCATTATTTAGTATTAGGAATTCTGCAGCAACATTTTCATCAGAAACTACTAAAGCTTACTTTCTGTAATTACAGAGCTGTAATCCTGGGTTGACAAAATCCTGTCCTGAAACAGGGTAACTGACATTCCAGAAAGAAGACTATCACCTTTAACCTTCTGTGCAGAATGCACTGCAATAATGCAAAGCCCTACAATTTGCACAAATAACACATGAACCTTGGAACAGTAAATCAAAAGGTTATGGAGTTCATAAACAGAAATAATTTGGAAACACGGGTCAAAGGATTCACAAAGCAAACTTCAAACACAATATTTTTGCACAAATATATGCAAATATATGTAAGAATTTTTGCTCTGTGTAAAATTTCTGAAGTCTGTAAAGTATCAGTATATTGGTGGGAGTCAGACACCTAACGCTTATTAAGGCTCATGTCTTTTATGCCTTCAACATAGTGTATGATTACTGATTAATGTCTTTGGTCAATCATCAATGAGAAAAAACATAAAAAACTGGCAATTAAATAGAGCTTGAGGAGTAAGATGCATACAGATATGCTCACTTGCAGTTCCATACAGAACTTAGTATTGTGAGGTTCCTTATTCAAATTTCTATTTCAGATCTCTGCTGCTCTTGCAAACAGAGATTAGCACACACATAAAAAAGCTGTTCTCACAAGACAACTTCCAATAAAAATTTGATATCACGTTAAATGACATTTAGCATACATTCACCTTTTTTTAGAAAATGTACTTCAGTGATTCTTCCAAAATAACTTCTAAAATTTCAGACTTGAAAGGTAATTGGACTTTACTTGAGAAAATGGACAGAATGATGCAAAGCAATTCAGTCTTTTAAACAGGAATAGTAAAAATAATAGCAAAAATTACAGTTTAACATCTCATACACTCTTCATGTGAAATAAAGTAATTTTTACCCAACAGTCAGGATAATAGCATCTTTTGATTATTTTTACTCTGACTTCAAACACCTTTGGGGAACTTCAAAGTGTAGCTGGAAAGAACATGATTTAGTGCATAAACAATAAATCAATGTATCTTAATTTTGAGTTACTTACAGTCCATAGGCAGAGTTTACAGCAAGACTGGTAATCTGTTGTGGAGGCTCACCATCCACCCACACCAACTGAATAACAAGATCTGCTTGATATCCAGGAGGCATTCGCACAGGTCGAGTCTTAACACTAAGGAAAGGTGCAAAATAAAAACAAATAAACAGACTGAGCCATGAAAAACAAATACTTCCCCTGAGAAAATATTAATGAAGCAGAATCCATTAATAAGACCACAGCAGTATGCACAACCGCAGCATATTTTGCATACACCCGTACATTGAGACTAGGCTTTCCAATCAGAACATGGATAATTTGGAAGAATTCCAGGCTTTGACTTTAATTTCTGCTGTAGAAATAAATCTGAAAATTTCAACATTCCCTAAATGAGAAACTCTGGAGAAGTTGTAAGTGAGGTAAACAATTTAGGTTAATAAAAATGATTTTTGCTTAACAATTTTGCTTTCCTTTTCCTTTTCTTTTTTCCAAACGATTGTATTTTCTTGTACTATACCACAGAATCACAGAATAATTAAGAGTGGAAAAGATGACTAACATCATCTAGTTCAACCGTCAACCCATCAGCCATGCCCACTAAACCATATCCCTTGATGCCACATCCACACGGTTCTCGAAAATCTCCAGAAATGGTGACTCCATCACCTCCCTGTGCAGCCTGTTCCAATTCCTCACCACTCCTGAGAATAAATTTTTCCTAATACCCAACCTGAACCTCACCTGGTGCAATTAGAAGCCAATACCTTTCATCCTATCACTAGCTACCTGAGAGAAGTGGCTGATCCCCACTTTGCTACAGGTTCCTTTCAGGTAGTTACAAAGTGATAAGGTCTCCCCCAAGCCTCCAGACTAAGCAATCCAATTTTCTTCAGCCACTCCTTGTAAGACCTGTGTTCCAGACCTGCACTGGCATGAATAATCAACTCAGATGGAAAACCTGAAGGTTTTCTTCTGAAAATCTCAGGGATGACATTTCTGTGCTGTTGGAACTATCTCGTTCTGAAGTACGGCAAGAGAAGGTAGATGCAGCATCTTTCTGTACTGCACGTCATCACTGCATATCCAAAACTTCTGGACTTGACAATTCTATTTATCTGTCTAGTGCAAACAATTCTTATTTTCTTCTTAGGAGTATAATTACCTCATACGTGATCTAGTCTTTTTGAATGACTGCTTCCTACATAAAATCTGATAATCTGTTAATATAAATATTAACACCCTTTCATATCCTGTTACGACAAATTCAGTGACTTGCACAGCACATAGCAAAAGTGTAAGAACTCAGTACTCTGTAAGTCTACTAATGTTCTTGTCTGGTAGAATTTACTTGATGATACACTGATAGAAGATACTACGCAAGAACAGCAATTCTTTAGATGCATTAACTATAAATACTGAGAGTATATATATTACAAATCTCTCATTTATTACAGGGTGGGCTAGTATCAAGAGAGGAAGTAGCTAGTCAATACACGCATGGACAGCACAGACAGAAAAATTGCAGTTATTGGCAAATAATTATTTCTGCTGTCTGTGCTTCTCTATATATAGCACTGCTGTAAATAACCTAAGCAACACTGGACTGTAGATGTGAGATCTTTGGTGACTGGTTATGGAGAGTATCTTCTGAACACGACTATGACGTGACTCAGCAAGCTCTCCAAGCATTCCTGGTCCACACACCTAACATGGTAGTTGATCAGACCGGAAAAAAGAAACAAACTTTTACTGGGAATAAAAAAGTAAGCACTCTTCACAAGAGAAATGTTCTTAGCGTCTCATTCAATAACCATGCCTATCAGTTTGTTCTTAGCTCAGCTGAAAGCATCTGATGAGATGGAGGCCTTCGAGGCGAATTTGACTACTGGCAATCTATCATTCTTGTAGAAGAGAAAGCATATAAAAAACTAAAAGAAAACAAAACTATAAAACGATAACATGGCTAAAGTTATTAGCTTGATAACGTGAGCAGCACATTAACAGAAAACATACAAAGCAAATAGTGCTCTAATTCTGATTTTTTTCTGAAATCATGAAGAACAAAGGAGAGTACAGTGCATCTCATGCTTTCACGCTTGTCTCCAAGGTGCTGTCATCTTGGCTGTTGGACCCAGCCATGTCATGCAGTAAGGCTATTGGAGCTGGCTGTGTCTGGTATGGAGAAGCCCCAATGTCACCTCAAATAGGCTGGACATAAGGGAATACTTCTTCTCTGAGAGCAGTCAGCTGATGAAATGGGCTGCCCAGGGAGGTGGTGGAGTCACCAAGCCTGGAGGTGTTCAGGAAACATTTAGATGTTATACTGAGGGACACGGTTGAGTGGGAAATGATGATAGGTGGACAGATGGATTAGATGATCTTAGAGGTCTTTTCCAAACTCGGTGATTCTATGATTCTACTTTCATCTTATAATCATAACTATGCTAGAACATAAGATTTTCAACAAGCCTTCCCTTTCTTAAATCAAATAAGAAGGAATTAAGGAATTCACTGCAACAATCAATTGTATTCTTACTGATTTCAAAAGCAAAAAACAGTTTCCCACTGAGATTTACTTATTTTTTTTTACTTTTACAGATTAACTTATCTGTGCCTCTTCCATTGATTTTAATGGTTCACACAGATGATTAAACATATGTCTGAGATTCAGTTGCTAACTGAATGAGAAAGACAAATGTACAGGAAACCAAAAACTATTGTCAATTATGCATGGACAATGCCACAATATTGCTTTTAAATTTTAATGCCATTTTCAGAAGCAAAATTGATGAAAATATCAATGATATTTATATCAATGTTCATTTAAACTGCTTTTGAAGTAATTGAGACATTTAAAATATTTAATAATAATTAAACTGAATTAATAATTAATTCACTAAATGAGAACAATACGTATCAGCTGTGCACTATAATTCTTTTGAAATTATGATTTATGGAGTTTTGTACAGAATTCCATTCTGAAACTCTTTAAACCTATAATTTATCTGTGTAAGAATATATTATTTTAATCCAAACAGTAGCAGTGTGTACTGTAGCAGACAACAGTTTGTTTCCTCCTACAGTTGAACACATACACAGTTCCACACAGTGCAACTGTTTCGTAACTGTACACTTTTAAGGCTCTTCTGTGAGTATGAACAGGATTTCCTTTCCCTATGTGTAATAAGATGCATATACTTCTTTCACAGATGATGATTTTAGCATTATACTAATTACTCAAGGAATTTTACGTATTTTTGTGGACTAAAAAAAATAATTTCTCAGAAATTCCGTTATCTATTCCGTAGCACTTGTGTTCCATTAAAAACTGTGGATGCAAGATGAATAATTACTTGTAGATCACACTGGAAAATTAGTTGAACCTTCACTGCAAGGGTTTATCTTCACCATAACTTACTTTCAGCCTGTTAAATTCCTTGATAATTACATTGCTTTAATTCTTTTGTTTGTTCTATATTCTGGTTCATTTTATTTGTGTCACATAATATGATTAACATTCTTTTCTTGATAGTTGACAGATCATAAAACACCTGACAAGAATGCTTACTAGAAAGATGAAGCTTTGAACAATGGCAGACTTACCTAAGACATGGGATACTGTCCTTCATCATTCCTTCACATGCTACAGTGTTGGTACTACCTGAAAGACTCTTTAGAGAAGGAAGCTGGGAAGAGGCATCTGGAAATTGAGGAATTATTTCCGGTTCAGGAGTAATGATATCTTCTACTTCATACTGAAGTCGTACCTCTAGTGACTTAAATAAATAAAAAGCTGTCACAATTTAATAAGAAAGCTTGCTGAAAGTTGTATTATAAACAAAAATCAGAAGCTTTTTTTTTCCTTGAAGATTAAAAAAAACATGTACCATAATCATTCACAAGTAAAGAATAGAGTCATTTGTTTTTTATACAGCCTAACAGTAGAACTGCATAGGAACTTGTCATTTACCCTACAATGATGGAGAAATAATTAAGTATATTCTTCCAGTACTGACTTTGTTCCAAGCTTTTTATTATAAGTGAAAGAATACAGTTTTCCAGAACTTAGTATGAAAAGAGATATTACTCGCTCTCAAGTAAATAATATTTTAGCATAAGAAAGCATCCATCAGAATCAATGTCATGAAAATTTTCTACTTATTGTTCATTACCATTTTCCTAAGCCAACTAATTAATAGAATGATCATCAGCTTCCTCTCCATTGCAACTACAACACCATCTCTAAAAGACAACTTTTAGCCAGTATGCAGAAGTTTAAGCCGGTACTACTGACCCATGAACTCCATCTGTCCTCATGCAGGGTCAGGAGCACAGAGTTCCATATTCTTTAAATTGTACACGAGTTTGACAGATTCTAGAATGCAAAGTCTAAACCACTTATCTTTCACTTTCCTTCTGGGCCCCCTCAGACAGAAAAAGGAGGCCAACGAAGCTCAACCATGCTTCCACTCTTTCCACTAATTCAGGAAATCTTAACTGAACGAATTCCAAAACAAATGGGAAACTGTACAGGGAGTTCAAATCTATATAAGTAATCATCTCAAAATATCATAATAAATATTGGTCAATTCTTTCTACCTCATGAATTATCCAAGGAGAACTTCATGTTGAAAACAATTTTAAAAAAGGTAATTCCCTCAAAGAGATAATGTCTTGGGAATACTAGCTGAACAGTAATCTCAGTGCTGGTTTCTTGAAGTGATCATATGCAATTGAAAATGTATACACTGCAAACTCCTCATTTAATGGTCTCTCACTGAGACATTATCTTCACCAATATGAAGATGGAAGCATTAAGTGCTACCATTTCAGCAGTGGTGACAGCAACATGAAAGACAAGCCATGCACAGCTGTCACACCACAAAATTAAGACCATCTCAATCAGCTCAGCCACAGATTACTACGCACAAGACTGTTCCTGAACGGAAAGTTGGCTTCAATGCACTGGAAATGATAGTGGCAATGTTGAAATATTGCAAAGTTTGTGCCAATTGGGTCCAATGAATGCTCAGAGAGTAACAGAAAGAATGCTATATTCAATTTTTTCAGGATCTATTGAACCTATACGAGACTACAGGTGAGAGTTTCCTGAATCGTACTGTTACTGGTGATGAAGCATAGCATCATTACTATGAGCACTCATGGTGTGGCGACATGAGAATTCTCCACTGGCAGTCAGTCCACAATAAGTAAAGTGATGTGTACTGTCTTTTGGGATAGAAAAGGGATGATCCTCCTGAATTTCCTGGAACACGTCCAAACCATCAGCTCTGACTTTCTACACTGTGACAGTGATTAAGCTGAAGGCTCAAACTTCCAGAGTCAGGCCAAAGAAGAACCCTTTTCTCTTGCAACACACTAACACCAGGTTCCATAGACTGCGGAGCACGTTGGCAATGTGCCTACCCCATCCACTGCATAGTCCAGTTTTGGCATCTTCTGACTTCCATCTGTTTGGGCTGAGGAAAGATGGACTGCACTGGTAACACTTTCCTAGAAATGATGCTATTGTGGCAGCTGTGAAACAGTGGGTCACCTCCACTGGTGCAAATTTTTATGAGTGTGGCATACAGGCTCTTGTTCTTGTCTGATGAAAATGCGTAGCTAATAGTGGTGACCACACTGAAAAAGAGTGTTTTGCAGATGAGAACCTGCTCTATCAACCAGTGTTATTGTGCTCTTTGTATCTGTCGTAGCTTTCAAATAAATAAATACGAGACATTACTTCCGGAGCAATCTACATACATCCTGAGACTGACAACCTCATTTTCAGTATAGACAGAACTATTGAATGTAAAGTCAGGTACATATTCCAACAAACGCTCCTGTACACTGACACAGATGTTTTTGTCAGGCTAGACTTATAGCCTTTTTAAAGGACATTAAAATACCCTCACTGTAAAAAAATTCTTCCACATATTTGTGTGGAACTTCCTATGAGCCATTTTTTAGCCTTTCCTTCTTGTCCTATCATTACATCATTCAAAAGTGTCTGGCTTTATCTAATTGCTTCCTGCACTGTAGGTATTTATAAGCATCAATAAGATCCCCTCTCAGTCTTCTCTTCTCCAGGCTGAATCAACCCAGGTCTCTCAGCCTTTCCTTGTAAGGGAGATGCTCCAGACCCATTTAGATTGCCTTTCTCTTAAGACTTGTCTGCTGTTAAATATTTTAGATGAATGAAAGAATATCTTACATTTAAAGTGTTGTTGAACCAGTCTATTAGAAGTGGTTGTCACTACTGCGCAGAAATGCAAGGTTTAAACTAAAGTTTAACTTGCTGTATGATGAGTAAGTACCAGCTGACTGCAGAGCAGTTAAAAGCACATGAACTGTGTGATTCTATCTGAAATGAAGTGACTGCTCAAGACATGAAGACGGAAAAAGGAGTATGTGAATAGGATTGAAGCTCAAGATATTTAAGAAAATATCAACTACTTAGACATAAATCACCTTGCTTTTCAAATAGTGTCCATTTTGAGGGAAGCAAAGTCAATATAAACCAGAAAAAAAATTAACTCCTTTTGTTTTATTAAAGCAACTGATAATTTTCAGTCCCCTTTTATTACAAATATTATGAAAATAAACAGAAGATACGAAATAACTGACCTGAGTAATGTTATCTAGGAAAAACATACATCAGACTGTACCACAAGAGCACTGAGCACAACAGAGATGCACTGTACTGAAGTCCTAGAAGTGAGCTACATCAGACAACCATCCTATAGTATGTTAATATTAAAGTAAGAAACAAGACAGCTGGATCCCAAAACCTCACTCAGTTTTTATCATCATCTTAAGTACAATCAATATTTCATTCAAAAGATTTTAAATGGAATACTCCTAAATCTGTGTTTATGCAGTTGTACACTGACACAGAAGTCACTTTCATCTTTCACATTTCATAGAGATGGTGTTATTTCATAAACAAGTAAAATTCTGAATGACTTACCGCAATTTCAGTATTTACTTCATGTTTGCTGAATCTATAAACAACCACATATGCAGAAACTCCTGCCACACAGAAAATTCGGCTTTCAGGACACCAGTACATCATTTGAACTGCAAAAGGGTCTTCTTCCACAATCTCAGCTGTTGCTTTTCCTTCCCCTGGCTTCTGTTTTTCAAAGACTTTTGATGTTTTTAATTTGTACAACATCTGCAGTGTAACTGGAATATATTAAAACAAACAGAAAAACCTGATTAACCATAAGCAAATCAGTTATAAAAGTCTTAAGTTCCCATTTTCTTTTCAATGATAGCACAACAAAGAATTACATAAGGCCTAAGAAGAGAAAAAGATGGGTATCACACAGTACAGATTTTATATTGGTACACTGGTACACCAGTACCAGTAGGATTATGTATTTAATATTTACAAATGGATATTTGTCTGTGAAACACTTTTTATTAGCTTCTGAAGCAGAATGTAAAAGGTGATTATTAGTTGTATGTCCATAACTAGGCTTACACTCAAGCTCCATTTTCTCAATCACATGTGAAACAAAGATTTATTTTGTCTTGCTATATAAAGACTGTATGGAGTGCTAAGTGAAAAAATGTGGGAAATATTCTGGTGGCCTGGCAAGACAAAGTCTTTCTGAAAGGAAGATGCTCTGATTTTCTTGACTAATAAGCATATCTGTATTAATACCTGGCTATAAAAACCTTAATATCTAGAAGCTTTATTCAAGAGTACGTCTGCAATACTGCGAATTTTGGAGATAATAGGAATTAAAATTAACCACATTTTGCTTTATAGACATTGCTCTCTGCTGTGTGTTGTTGTTTTGTTTGCTTGTCTTTTCTTACTACTTTTGCATGAATTTATCACACTAATCAATCACTGTGTAAGATCAGAAAAAGTCATCCAGGGCACTACCTATTAGGGTGTGTATATACATAAAAGTAAAGCTGTTGCATATATTACTGTAACTGTGCTAGATCAACCCAGCTATCCTGGGCAATAAACAATGACAAGATGGAAGAGCCTTCTAGTTGTGTAATCAGATAGCAAATACATCAAAATTACATTTTCTGTTTGCTGGTCACGTATACTTCTAGGAATCTTAATATACACGGTATCTCCCCAGGGAAGTGGTTGAGTCACCATCCCTGAATGTGTTTAAAAACCGTTTGGATGTGGTGCTCGGGGACATGATTTAGCAGAGGGTTGTTAGAGTTAGGGTAGTATGGTTAGGCTGTGGTTGGACTTGCTCTCTAAGGTCTTTTCCATCCTGAGCAATTCAATGATTATAAATTTTCACAAATGCAGCAAGTGCTTCTGTAATGAACACATCATTCTACTGAGTTTTGTGGTGGTGGAAAGGCCTCAAGATGCCCTTGATCCCAGTGTCAAATTTAGACTGGCAGTGTGAATTAGGGGCAGACTTCTTGGGTCCACACATACTAAGACAGGAAGAACTACAGAATCATACGGCACAAGTACAAGGCAAGATTCCATGCCTCACACTTCTATGAATTATTAGGCACCACTGATACATATTTTGTGCAAAGATAAACTTGGAAAACTGCTTCAGTGGCTAAGCATTTGTCTGTCTCCCAAATATCTATGTTTTCAGATAAAAATTAAAATATGACTAAAAGCAAAGTACTTTGTTCCTTCAAATAAGAGCAGGATATTATGTTTGATGTGAGTCCTCAAATTAAATTTAAATGTTGTTTCAAAAGCTAAGACATTGTAAAGCTTTGTAATAATTAAAGCTTTATAAATTGTTAAGTACTAAGTATGGTACCGGTAATACTGTACATGTTCTGAAAAGGAGGACTAAGGATGTCAGAAATGCATGGAGAGTTTTGTTACTGTTAAAGAGATCCACGAATATTCTTCCTTATCTAAGCTTTTACCTCTATGAACAGCTCCTACTGCAGCAGGTTATGTTAGAGAGTTATGTTTATATCCATTGAGAAGTTTTTCTATTTTTTTCCTTTCCTCATTCTCTTGTCCTCATTACAATTCTTTTATTTTTGGTAATCGTGATAGCTTGAAAGTGCTGCATGATGCAAACTCTACAAAGAAACTCTAAGAAAGATGCATCTTTTTTTTTAATAAGAAATGGAGTCTCATTTTGTCTTTGATAATCTTGATGAGTGAAAAGATTTGGTATTGGGCAAAAGCAGAAATATTTGACAAATTCATGAAATTTATCTTACATTAAAGTATCGTAAATGTTCTCCATCTTTGGCTAGAAATTCTAATAGCATTAATCATGCCAATTATGTGGTGGAATGAGGAGTCAGCAGGCACTTAAAGTATCAGTATAGTCAGTATTATCATCATATCAGACTGTTTATTAGGGTCAAACAAAATCTGTCTATGTCTAGCATTTCAGATAAGAGTTTCTTTCACGCTCGCCGCTTCAGGAAATGGGAAGAGACTGTTAACTCATGAAAGAGATGTTCTATCCCAAGAACCCAATATTACTGAAGAGAGAGAATACAAGGCAACTAACTATGATGCAGCATTTATGAAGCACAGAGATGTTATTTGAAACGAAATACCATAGCTTTCAACAAAACCATGTGTGTATTTTTAATAAATACATTTTTATAATAAGCACCAGATGTATTTTCTATAGGGAAAAATGCTGTTCTCTGATACATTTAATTAAAGCTAAAACATATGGAATAACTATTTTCTGATGCTTTTTCCTGCTAGGATGAATGGAAATGTTCTTCCCAATTAATTCCTGGAATTTGAGACTGGACAAGTAAAGATGCAGGTCTTTAACTAAGATGTCTTAATATATTTTGATGTTTTGTTTTTATCTAGCTGTAAAAAAGACTACATTATATCACTGGGGCTATTTCAGCTTACTGTTTTATATACACAATAGGATTATGCCTATGGAATTATTTAACAGTACTTCATTCTTCCTAGGTTTTGGTACATCAGATCTAAAGTTTTTATCCCTATCCTAGACTTCCAGCTCTTCTCTGCTTAAAATATTCCATTAATAGTATTTTTCTCCTAATTTAATCAAAGTTGCTTAATGTCACCTGACCATAATCTAGTCACAGCATTATAGATACTAGTATTCATACTGTAGCACATTACGTATTACATGTAAAAATATGTGTGTTTATGTGTGACTTTTCAGCATTGTATGAAAGTGAACTTCAAAAACTTACTGGCAGAAGCATCCCAAAACTTTACTGATCCATCTGCATGGCTTAAAAAAAATAAAATTAAATGTGTTAAAACATTATGCATTTAAAGAACATTTTCTGCTTTCACTGAGTGATAAATAGAAGTGGAAAAACTGTATTTTGCTTCTGTGTTAAGCTTCTCCATACTTCAATGACAATATATGATGGTGTATCTACTAACCATAAGGAAATATTTTATTATTAATATGATTGATGAATACCTTTTGATAAAATCTCTATAGAGAACTAAGCTGACTACGATTTTTAAGATCACAGCAGCACAAAATTAATTCATTTACTAATGCCAAGTTTATGATGAAGCACTTCTGGCCTCGCAGTGCACAAGTATCAAGCACATAAGCCCAAGAACTCTAAAAATGCCACGTATATCCAACTTTTGGAAAGTCAAAGGTCAAGTTCATTCTGCTTAGCTCCTAACAGCTGTGTTCTTTTTATTAATGGAAAATAACCCTTGAAATATAATTGCAGAAAGGAGACACTTCTGTTTACAATAATTTCTTCTTCTCCTTACTATTGCACATACCATAAAATGGGTTTTAAGTATCATCGATTACAACAATTTATCAAATATATCAAATATACTGTTATCATCAGCGTGTCTGAGACCAGAGAAAAATAGGAGTGTTAGAAAAACAGCTGGATCCCTTTTCATGGCCTTCAAACAAATAAATGGATTGCAATGAATTCCCTTTTTCAAAGATTCCACCTTCACAAGCTGATTTCACAAATAGACTTGCCATCTAACACCAGGGCCTCAATCAGTAATTCTTAACAGCAGTACATCCTTGAACCCAAGGCTCTATTTTCTACAGCAAATGGGAATTTCTGTGGTGATTTTACACCCAAAACAAAAGCTACATACCTCAACACAAGAGGTTAGGACACACATACCATGTCAAGAATCAACACTTGCCCACAGACAACCCACAATTAGAAGTTCCAGACAGTAACATTTTAAAAGAACAAATCCTCAGTTTCATTCTCACCCTGTAATAATGATTTCAGGATATGTCTGAGCTCCAAGATTCCATGCTCCACCACTGATAGGCCACTCCTAAATGAACAACAAGAGCATAGATCAAAGCTAATCCTGATGAATTTTGCTTGGTTAATTTTTAGACAGAAGAGCAGACAATATCTTCTTCCAAAAAGCAATACATCTAAAAAAAGAAGTGAAAATATAGTATACCATTCAAGGCTTTTAAAGTTTATTAGCATTTTACAAATTAAGTCTTTTAGGTTTTTTTTTTTTTTAAATTTACTTTAACAACTAAAGTTCTATCTTTTTTAATGATTATTACATAGCTAACACTGCAAACATTCAAAACAGGAAGTAGAGGAAGGAGTAGTAAACACTTTTGTTACTGTTTTCACATTGGAGCTTCTATAGGATGCTGATTAGAACTGAGATTCCATTCTGAGGATGGAGACTACTGAAGAAGCTGGCCCAGAAAAGTGGGAAACAAGAAACTGAGCATCATGCTATGGGATATGAAATAAGGGAATGCAACTTTCACAGATTGTGTGAAATCATCATCTTTTCCTTGCCTTTTATTTATTAGTGGAAAGATTCTTATTCTTTTCCTTGGTCTATGCTGGTTGAAGAAAATGGTGGTCCGTGCCTAAAGCTTGTTGGGAACAGCTACAGAGTGAATAAAGATTTGTACAGTGTATGAGAGGACAGAAAAATCTAGGAGAAAACTGGTTCTGAGACTGCACAGAGAGGATGCATGTGAGTACAGAAAGGAGTGAGTGGGAATGGCTATCTATATTCTGCATGTTTATCATGTGCATGCACAAATAAAACAAGTTGTATTGAGAATTTACAAGGAGTACAGATAGATATGCAGTGAAATTTTTAGACAACTATGTATGCAAATTTAGGATAAATAAGCAGACAAATTCTAGTAAGAGAAAAAAACATTTTCTGAAGTACTTAGCTGAATTAAGATCTCAAAGAAGTATATAAGGCCCAGATTTTCAGTTCAAGGAAAACAAGGCAGCTCTAAGGAAAACTATTATTTAAATATAAAAAGAAAACTGATGCCCAATTTGCTTACTCAACATTTTTTCTTATTTATTTATTGTGATGGATTAGTTCTAAGCAAAACATAAACTAAATTAATACTTGAAATGTATAAAGTAATTCAATTCCCTATTTTCATTTCTGCAGCTTGCGTTATTTCTAAAACCCTTACATTAAGACTACAGTAGCTCAGTAAAATAACCAATATCTTTATTTAATGAAATGCTGTCAACCTTCAAATTCCACCAAAGATCTTCTGCTTTGCATTATAATCATTTTATACACTACTTCTGTCTTCGGTACAGATAACATTTTCAGACAAATTCAAATTTTACATTGATGACATTCTTTTAAGTCAGTCTGATCTCACCACATAATTCCAGCAGCCTAATGATGAATTCCTGCATAACGGCGGCTTAATGCTTATGGTTCAGTGATGGTAGATATTACTGAAAGATGAATATCAAGCCATAAGAAATCACAGAAGGAAAGCTGCATCTAATCTGCAGGCTGGACTAACTTGAAATTGGTTATTAAAGAAGTAAAATGAAAAGAATTTGGTAAGATATTTCAAAGACACGGGTAGTACATGTGTTTTCTTTCTCGAAAAATACTGGTTTTGTTTACCTTATTGCTGTATCCTTGCTTTTTATGTTTTGCTCCTACAGAATAGAGTACAGGAATCAAATCTGGAGGACAGTCGGCAAAATATTCTGTGCAGGTGACAGGTGACTCATGAATGTCAATAGGATATGGATTTTCAAAGATTGGAAAACTAGTCAAGGAAGACAATTTATTAGAAGCATGGTGACACACTGAGCCATGTAAGAACATATTCATATTAGAAAGTATATCACACAATCTAAGTAGAATAATTACTGATAAAGTACATTTTTCATTATTTTTTAAAACATACATATTGCTTTTAATGTCAATAAAACTTCTAGTTTCAACGATGTACAAATTCCTGTGCTGTGACAATAATCTGGTTTTTTTTATAAATTTTTTCAGCATCTCATAATTTCATTTATGAGATACAGAAATCATGTATTTTCTAGAAGCTTCAGGTTCACTCATATGATATAAACTATGACCCAAGAATTAACTATTCAACTGTAGATTTTATATTTAACAGTTCTGTTCATTGTGTTGATCTACTACTGATTCTACAGCGAACAACTGCATTAACAGATGAAGTCGATTTCAGTTTTCTTCCCACTTTCATCAGTTTGGACTGTCTGAAAAGAAATAAGGCCTCATTTCTGGCAGATTACACAATGTTATTCACAATTCAAAAATGCAAGAGATTTGGTTCTGATTTCACTTGCATCCATTTTATACTGCTGAGATGATAGGAATTACTCTTGAAAGTGAATGAGGTCAGAATATGATTTACTTAAAAATGTTTCAAATCTTCACAGAACAATTCTGTTCTTAATTATACCAGTGTGAATGTGGATGCACTTTTTGACACAGAACAAAACAAATAAGAATCATATCCTGCATTATATGATATATATGAATACTGATTTTGATGTAAAAGTATTATTTATCATTTAAAACAACAAATGGATCATGAAGGAATCCCATAGATCCACATAAAGCAGTGCTGTTATTTACTAAGACACCTGAGTAAATACTTAAGTGGTAGTCCTGACAGAGTCCAGTGAAGTTAGACATGCATACAGGCGCTAGCTGAGTGTAATTTCTAACACGAAAATTCAGGTTGTAATTCAGCAATTGTCCATGAATCACTTAACTTTGATGCTGTGTTTGAGGGCTATACTGAAGGGACTGTAGATGTAGATTTATTCCCAAACTCAAAAGCAAGATTCTATTGATCAGCTTTTGATCCTAGCTTTTAAGGTGGAAGTAAGCATATAGACTGAGTGATTTTGTGCAGTAAAATGACATTCCATTATATCATTCGGATTTTTTTTTAATCATCAAATTCTAAACAGTTAAGACGAATCCATAACTTCACATAAGATCTTATACTTACTTGCTTTGTGTCAGGTCAACAACAATGAGATCTTTTTCCAAAAGCACAACTACAGCATAGGGTTCTTGAAATTCTGTAAGAGAGGAATCAGGTATAAAAAAACAACAAATTGCTAGTCACATTTATGTTCTCTAAATACTTACAGTATATTAAACAAAATCTAGAAAGCATTTGATTAGGGACAAATAGGAAATAAGAAAAGAAATGACTTTCAGGCAGAACTGCTGATTAACATACATGACAGAAACAGTACTGGCATTGTATGGAAACTGTTGAATCACAGCCTGAACCACTGATTGATCACCTGGGGAAAAGACTGGCTCAGCCCTGGGAGCACAGGTGAAGGCAATTCAGCTGTGTGACCAGAAGGGGTGAAGCCTGGCTGCACCTCTCTTAGACCCCATTTAAGGGCTAACTGCCACTGGGGAAGGATCTCTGGTTGGAAATCCTTCCTTGGTGGAGCTTATCCCTGGGAACCTGCGTTTGTCTGATACAGGCTCTTTCATAGCACCTCTCTATTGTGCTAGTCCTTAAGTCATTGCACCCTTGCTGTAATGCCTTTCCTATTGTATTGATCTGTCCAATTGCTAAAGGCATAATGTAGTATTCCAGCATGATGGAACACTGAAAGTAACAGAATGTGAGGAGGTTGTGCGTATTATGGCATTGTTGAATCCAATTGTTACTCAGACAATGACCTTTTTGCTGCCCAGCATTAATACTTTTTCTATTCAAAACTATTCCTTAAAAACAGACTGTAGACAGCTAGTCCAGTCCACTTGATATACAGTGTGTTTGTTTCCAAAGCAATCTGAAAGGAAGATTACAAGAAGTCTTCTCTATATCTTCATTTTAACAATAACAAGGAGAATTAAAGAAACAGCATGATAGGAGTACTCTGATGACAGCACAAGTGCTTCACATAATACAGTTGTGCTGCAGACACAGTGAGAGTGAAATACCTAAATCTGCACAGAAAGAACTGCAAATTAACTTTGATTACTGAAAATTACTTTTACTGCATGACATTAAAACAAATAGAGTTTTTTTAATATATATTTGATTTATCATTGTATAAAAGACTTACTTTACTCTTCTGACTGAGGGCTTAAAAAGATAAACTTAGCTTCTTTTTCACTTGTAGCTTTCTTAATTTCACTTTCCAGAATTTTCTGTGACTTCAGCATTTGGCAGTCTCACAATATGTAACACTTTAAGATACATAAGCACTTATGTTTGATTAAGAATAATAGTATTTCACACTAGCCCATGTTTCAAATGTGTATCTTGAAATTTATGCCTTTTTTGTTTCCCACTAATTACTTGTCTTTTTTATGTTCAGAATCCAAAACAAGTTTCAGTTACTTTCAGCAATAGGGGATTTTTGAGATGGAGACGACTGTAAGAATGAAGTTCCCGGACAGGAATTCAGATATTAGAGAAGTTCAGTTCATTTATACTTTCTATAATTCTATTTTGCTTAATGAACTCACCATTCGGATATGGGGTTTCACAAAGAGTTAAAAAATCAACTATAGGATGATCCATTTCAAGAACTGTAATTGCTTTCCCATGCATAATCGTTAGACTTGGTCTTCGACAAGCCTTATCATATGACAACCCACCGGAAAATATCACAAATGGTTCACTGTATTAAATATAAAAACATGGTAATCATAAGTTTATGTAACAAGTTTACATTAGAGGTGTAATGTCTTAACAGCTTTAACAGCTTTAATATCTTAAATAGCTTTGCAAAAAAAGACAAAGGAAAGATTCAGAGTGTATTAATTCACGAATGTAACACTGAAACATACCTGTTTTTACAGGTTTTGTACTCCACTTTAAGAATTGGTTTACAGGATTCAGGTTTTTTTCCGTCTCTTTGAATTTTTCCTAAGGAAAAAGAGGATGGAAACTGTATTAAAACATCAGGATAACAAAACTAATCAAACTTTCAAACTAAAATACACACCTTGAAGCAGTTACATAATCAGAAAGAGTGGAATTTTAAAGCTACATGAAATGGTAAGTATTAATGCCTATTTCTCTAAAATATGCGTGTTTACATTTATTATAGCTTTAAGTTTTTACTGCTATGTATGTCTGAAGGATTACAGATAACAATTCAAAAATTTGAAAATAAGAGAAGGATTACACTCAGCTAATAATTATTGAATTTCACTGACAGTACACCTTTTCCTGATCAAGGATGAGCATAAAAAGCTTAATTTTTTTCCCAATATAGTTAGTTGAAAGAGAAAATTAAATAAAAAATACATTTTAAAATCATGGATTCTTTATTAATTCTGGCTTAGAGAAAAGTCACTTGTAAACAATAACAAAAATCCAAAACAACTTTATTTTTCTTACTTTGGAAAGTCCCTCCATTTTTTTTTTTTTCAACAATAAAGACACCAGTAAGCAATGAAATATTGTACTACTTTACTGTACATCTTTACTATCAAAATTACCATGTGGGATTGTGGTCTGGAAAGGTCTGTTAGGACTTTTCAGGTTCCATAAGGTCAGGCTTCCATCAGAGTGACTGCACATAAACTGTTTCCCTTCATGGTGCCAAGCAACAGAATGAATAGCCTATGGAAATGAATGAAGAACTTGAGAGTGAAAAGGAACACACTGTTTACACTAATGAAATTTTAATATGTGACTTTGAATTATATTTATCTAATTGTATATCAACAGTTGGATGAATTTTGTTTGTCTAGAGTCTGTTAACTGCACTTTTTAGTAACCAATAGCTATAATCTACACTAATTCACAAAACAATCCGTTATAAATGCTAACAGGGTACAAGAATGGGAGAAACTCTACTGAATCAGATCAAAATTGAACAAACAGGATAATAAGTAAAAGGTATACAAACAAGGAATATGCAACACAATAAATATTTCTGATTGTTCCTTGGAAGTATTTTATTTCCCAAATGTATGGGAATGCTGTGCAATGGTTTTTACTGATAGCATACAACAGATGCAAGCTTTCTAAGAAGATGTATTAGAAAAAGTAGAAAGAGTTATCAGTTGTTGAATCTTTTTACCACCACATACCAGGGTTTCAGAGAAAGAACCTTGAAACCTGTTATGCATCACATAAAAACAAAATGACAGAGAGGGGTTGTTTCGTTCATAAAGGAATGATAATAACATTATTTTGGAAAACCTAAGTGCGTCAGAGAAGGGGAATATCACACTCCTGTGTACACAATGCAAATAGAATATATTGAATTTTACATATAGCAAAGGGGGACGCTTCAAAAATTAATCAGATGTTCTTAGTGTTTCATGAATAATTAGTGGAACTGATGGGCACAAGATATCAGAAGTTAAAAAAGGGATTAGACACTTAAAATGAGTAACAATAACATCCACAATTGTATCTGACAAGCTAAAAAGCAGGGCTAGTAACTAGCAGGAAAAAACTGTACCAACCTGCTGGTTAAACTATCTCAGCTGTTAGGTGCCACCTGCTAACATAAGTCTCCTGTTAAGTGGAGCTGAGGAGAAATGCTCCTCAGCAGTCACAGAGAGTTGTTATAACACAGCTCAAACTCACCTGATAGATTGCTCCACAAAGGTAAAGAAATACTTAGGATTTGTTTTGGAGGTCTCAAATGGGAGTCACGACTAACACTAAATGGTAGGGCATTAAACAAGTCCCTAATTTTCTCTCTGCAAGAATATGCCTAGTGTTCCGATCTACTTCTTTAGCAACCTCAAAAAAACTGAGCTGTTATTTCATTAGAACAAGAGTTTATCGCAGTAGATGACTCATAAGAATGTTCACACAGTGTATACACATAACATATCACTCCAGATTGGGTATGTCTCTCCTGTAGTATCAACAGTGGCTGCATATATACTCCATCTTCTCTTATATTCAGCATGTACTAAATCTAGGCATACTCAACACTGTTGCAGTTGTCTCCCAAGTACAGAATTCCTCCACTGAGAAGAAATGACGGATATTCAAGGACCACTTTTAACCATAGTCTGAACAAGCACCATACTCATCACTTAAACCTTAAGAATCCTTTGTATTAGCAGTACTGCAGGACCACTGCATCAGATTTGATGTTTCCATAATGGTACAGTATTTGAGAAAGGTGGGAAGGGAGATGTCATTTGGGAAATGTCTCTGAGAACTCTGCAGCTTTGTTCTGGAGACATGTCATAATGAGATATAATATCTATGCTACAGAAGGCTCTGAATATGCTTTGACGCAGCCAGTCAAACTTTTGAAGTCTGCATAAGATGGTTGTTTTTTCTGGGAGTTGCCAACTATCAGTAATAATTTGTAGGTATTTTGAAGCATCTGCCTTGCTTGTGTACTCTCTTTTATATTGATCTATGGAAAAAAAAAAAAAACAACAAAAAACTTTTGACAGAGTAAAGAAAACGGTTTGCAAGCATCTGAACATCTCATACTCAATAGATATGATCACTACTGGGAAGATGACAATCATAATTACACCAAGAAACAAACTTGCACTTGACAACTCAAAGAGCGGGCACAAGAGTCTAAGCAGCAGCTCCACTTTGGCATTAGGTGTTTCACAAGTGAAAACATCTTAGTCTCTTGAGATTTGACATAGTAGAGAAGGGCACACTGCATAAGGAGCTGATGAGCCGAGACAACTTCTGGCTTATCTCAGCTGTGCTAAAAGAGAGATAAGACTAATTTTATCTCTAGTGAGTAGAACATAAGTAGCAGAGAGAAGCTTTAAAGGGAAGATGCAAGGCTTACAAAAACACCTAGTACAGAAGTTCGCAATAATGCAATACGGCCTTTCCTACCCTTGGTGAGAACCTCCCTCATATGAAATAAGGAGACGTTTTATGTATGAAAGGTTTCCAGCCTTCTTGATATGAAGTATGGCATAACTAAGATACAGTAGAAAACACAATTATGAATGCTTCAATTACAGGTTTGTGAACCAGGGACAGGGTCCTCATGTCCCCAGTTACAGGCTGTTGTGTTGTCTAAGTCAGCCGTGTCTATGACATCAATCTGGATGGAAGGAAAATGAAAGGATATATTTCTTCAAGTACTGGACAGACCTTGATAATATAGTAAGCAATTCATCTCCCAATCATAAGATTATCCATGCTCTGAGGAGATACCTGCAACATGTCACATATCCAAATCTGCAAGACTCGTGTGATATGAAGCATCATACTTGTGTTAAGAATACAGTGTAGCTTAGAAAGGATAGGTAAGATTTCACAATGATGTGCTACGGGACACTAAGAATCATTATCTCTTTTTAATGCTTTTGGTAACCAACTGTTCAAGCATGTAAAGAAAGGAAACTTGTTCAATCTGAGCTGAGTGTCCACTACTTCTAAGACACAAATTTAAAAATAGCACTCAATATAATGAAAAAAAATGAAAGAGACTTTTAGAGAATGCTTCTCACTGATAATGACATGGAAGCATTTCTTATGGCTATACAAAACAAAGCATCTTCAATGTCATGAGATATGAAATTATTCTCCACTCTAAGAACTGACTGACTGCAGATGTAGTTCTCATCTTGAACTTAGAAAAAAGGAGTATTTAGATTTGTGGATGCATAATCAGTTACCAGCCTACTTTCTACTTCAGTATCAAAAATATCTGCTATTAAATTCTTGTCCCTATGCTATACAGCAAATGATTTTACAGATCTGAATAACGAAGAGCCTGCTTCTCAGCAGGTCTATGGAGACAGAAATCCAACATGATTGAGGATCCCGTGAAAGGGTGAGTATCAGGATGGAGTTTTGAGGATGTGTACTTCTATTTTGGGTGACATGACTAAGTTGGATATCTATCTGAGAAAGAACTGGCCTTGGTGATGAAAATTCAGGTGCATCAAAGACAAAAAAAAAATCTATTTCACACTATAAGTACAAAGGGGCTCTTAATGGAGAACTCAGGTTCCAGGAGAATTTCTGGTATTAAACTGAAGTAGTTGCTCCACTGATGAATCAAATAAAGAAAGTGCTATCTGACTATCCTCAGCAATGCTGGAAGAACATATGGTGACTTAGATCAGACTCACTGTTCACTCATCATCAAATATGGTGACTATATTAGCTTCAAACTTGCTAAAGAAAGTAGGGGGCCTGCTCCAAAAGTAATGCATCTCATTTTATTGCGTTGGCCCACAATGTCAGAGGCATACGTTGCTGGTATGACAGTGGAGGTTGAACCTTTCTGCCAATTCTCCATTCAATTTTGTTGCCATGCAACAGATGGCAACAGATGACAAAATGGTGTCTGACAGGAAGTGCATATGGAGCAAAGGTGTGTAGCTGAATTCTTCCATGCACAGAAAAAAAAAAGGCAGAAGAACCTGCTGACACCAAACAGTGAATGCAAGCACCATGAATTTGTGTGTGTTTCAGGAGGGGCAATATGAAAGACAAGCCATGTTCTGGACAGTCATGTACAGCTGTCACATCACAAAACGAAGTACATCTCAATCAGTTCAGTCACATGAATTGACAGGTTATGACCAGGGGACTGTGTACAGAGCAGAATATCGGCTTCAATGCATTGGAAACTACGGTGGCAACACTGGAATACTGCAAAATGTGTGGCAGGTGGGTCCAACATGAATTCTCACACAGGAACAGAAAGAACGCTGTACTCAAGTTTATCAGGACCTACAGAACCAACATGAGGTTGCAGGTGACAGTTTCCTGGATTGCATCATTACTGGTTGTCATGGCTTGGTTCCATGACAGCATCTGAAGGGACCCATGGACCCATGAGCTGGGAAAGGGGGAAAGGGAAAAAAGGTAAGAAGATGGGCTTAGATGAGAGAAACAGTGGCAAAGAGCTAAGGGAAAAAACTTGATTCACTAAATATAATAGCAGAATGTGAGATAGTACAATACAGTATGATTGGAATTGAAGCCAATAAAGCAAACAAAATGGGAGAGAGAGAGTTTCTAAAGGTTAAGTCCTTACTCTAATGCTGTAGGTCAGATGGTGGGAGCAGTCTTGTGACTCTCAGTCAGGTTTATCATTCCCTCTGAACAGAAAATAGAAATGGAACAGTGAAGTCTTCTGGGAGTTGCAGCTCATTCTTCTCTTCTGAGACCAGGAAACGGAATAGCGACAATCCATGGAACTGCAGCATTAACTCTCTAACTTCCAGAACAATACATGGTGTTATGTTTTGGAATACCTATAACAAGCCACAAAACCATGACACTGGTGACAAGGCATAGTGTCACCACTATGAGGTGGAGTCAAAATGGCACTCCATGGAGTGACGACATGAGAATTCCTCGCTGAAGATAAAGCTCAAGTCGCAGCCCCCAGTAAGTAAAGTGACATGCATTGTCTTTTGGGATAGGAAAGGGGTGATCCTCCTGAATTTCCTGGAACATGTCCAAATGATCAGCTCTGACAAATATCTATGATAAACCTTATGTTTGCAATCCTACGTTTTGGTGCCAAATACTAGCTGGCACATGCTGAACTAATAATTTATGACTTATAAAACCTTTATAAATCAGTATTGTAACATAAACCTTTTCTAGGGAATTCCTACAGGAATCGTAGCAGATCTGGAATATTTTCAATCTGGAGCAAGTCTGGAACAAAGCACAAGTTGCAAGTTCACACATCCCTGTAAAGATGGTAAAAGAATCTTTCAAATATATCAGCAGACAACGGAAAGCCATTGAAAGTTGCACAGAGTGGAACAATGACACAGCAAGTAACCACTGAGGAGGGAAGCACATGACTTACAAAATGAGAAAAAAATAATTCCTGAGAACAGTTCTGAAAAATGTGGAACAATTAAACTGTAAGAAATTTTCAGCACTCAATAACTCTGACTTAGCAAGCTATTAAAAAGAAAGGAAGCAGGATTGTAACGGCCCTTATTTTATGTTCTCTCTTCCTGAGCACAAGAGAGGACAGTGTACGAACACGCACCCTACCTTATGAGGAGACCTGTGAAAACGTTTATCCAGTCTCAAGGAATAGAACGCTGTATTTTCCCAAGTGTATACACAGACAGACTGTCAGTTATAATGGGATATATCTTGAGGCTTAAATGCTGTCCTGTTTAAACTCATATTTACCCTGTCAGTAGAACATTTGCTGTGAGCAGGATCAGAATTTTAACTCTGAAGTTCAGTTTTAATGCAGTTTTCATGAATGTGTACACACCTTCCATCTAATAAGGCAGTAAGAGAAACGATCAAAAACAGGCATATATCCATTTTTTAAACACTTTTTATTATTACAATAACTGTACTCATGTTTGATATAATCTGCTTTCAAACAGCAAGAGTTGATATTCTGATTAAAGCGAGAATACAATTCTGAAAATTTTTTGTGTAGATTTTGACTACTGGATAATACAGAAAGCCCTACAAAGTAATCTGACTTTCATTCTAGTTGATGTTCTAGTAATATTCAGTATCAGTAATAACATTTCTTATGTAGCTATATTGCAGGTCAGCTCATTACTACATTCTGTTCAGTTAGGGAATGAAGAAGCAGATGAATCTGTTAGAATTAAGGGAAAGTGACTCCGTGTTGTATTACACTCAAAAGAGGCTAATGTAGTACAGCCAGACAACTCAAGTTTTGATTTGTATTGCCAGTTAGCTGCCCAAAAACAGAGCACAAACAGTATTTTGAGAACACACAGTGTTTTAAGACAAAATTCCATCTGTTTGGTAAGAAATATAACTGCTGAATAACAGTATTTATGAATTAATGGAAGTTGCTTACCTCATCATAATAAGCTCTCAAATCAGCTCTTTTAGATCGTAAGTCCCAGAATACTACAGTCCCATTTTCATAGCCTATCAATAGCTGGAGGAGGGAAACAGACCCAATTACAGTTTCATACTCAAATATACACATAGTTATTAAAGAACTTCATGGTTTTAAGGCATATTTCAAAAAATAAACAATATAAAAAATGCCAAACTGATGCATAAGACTGTAGATTATAATATACACAATACCCTGCATTCAAATTATCTTTTACTATAATTTACTTCTAATGACATACAATTCCAGTCCTGATACAATGTGCTTCATAGATCATTTTTTATGCAAGGTTATATATGCGGACTGTCTTCACAATTTTTTGTCTGTTGAGAAAACACTAATATAGCATGTTTCTCTCAGTGGCTCTCTTCCTTCCCTAGACAACAATTGTTGGAGGGACAACAATTTGACACCTAAGAGTTTTCTTAAATTACATCAAACCAAAGAGTAGCCAGATTAAACTCTCTCTCATCTAGATATATTCCTTTAATTTCTGCTTTCTATTTCTTTTAAACATTTTGAAGAAATCCTGTTGCAGAAAATAAATTGCTTAATTTTCTAGAAATTGAAAGCAAGTTAACCTGTTTGCAATTTTTTACTTCTAGAACTAGAACATCATACAATCATGCATGCCTGAGAAATACCAGTCAGATTAAGCAAAATATGATAGGGAATATGATAGAGAAGAAAAGCAACGCTTAGGAAAGAAGTAAGAATGAACACAATGCTTTCTCCTTGTTTCTACTAAAAATAACTAAATTTTATGTCAGCTGCTGTATTGAGTACTTTTAATTTGAATTTAGTTCATTCTAAATCTTATATAATGCGTGAAGCCTGGCGTGCTTAGAAGTCCTGCAAACTGTTTCCCATGGAGCTTGTCTTCCTAAGAATCAGTTCTGAAGAATGAGAATGAGCATACTGGAAGACACACATTTTGATTATGGACTATTCATGTACATGGGGCAGTGATATCTGCAATTGTTTTTTGTCCTAAAATACATGGATGATCGCAGAAGGCAAACAAAAATTCAAGAATTTTTCGTATCAAGAATTTGAGGGAAAGAATGACAAGATGACAAGACTATCTCTTAGTCTGTGAAACTTCACTAAAATCGCTGCTGTTACTGACTACAGCTTGTGTAAGTCATAAAAGTTGAACTGCTGGACTGCAAAACAAAACTCTTTTTTTCCAAATTAAGCACCTTTAATACATCAATACCGCAGTATACAGAGTCTGGGAATACTCTAAATTCTACTGGATATAATTCTCTGTGTTGTCAGAGTATTTTTTACATGGAGATCCATTTCGTGTTCTCGGAATGACTTACAGTTAAATACATATAATACCTGAATAGGAAAAATACCTGATTATTTAGGAATTTTGTTCCCTAACAAAACACAAATTGTCTTGGAGAAATCTCAGAATATTTATTATTTTTGCCCTGGACAGGTCCATCTGGGATTCTGTAGCAGAGTAAATGAGAAAAGACATCAGTGTTCAGAAATCATATAGCAAACTGGATAGTACTATTGTCAGGTTGCCATATGGTAATCTGACACAGAGGACTGCCAACAGGAAAATGAACAAAGGGCCTTACTGCAAATTCTTTCACTGCCAGTGTAGTGGTTCTAAACAGAGACAATTGTATATTCAGGACTTAGTGATTCGCGTAACAGCCTAACAGGCCTGTACTGAGATATGCTCTGCTGCACATATTCTTTGACTACAAGACAAACTTAGCTGGGTAATGGTAAAGGAGAAGCCTGTAGGCAGCTCCCTCTTGGTAAGAGTAAACATAGTACCCATGTGCCCTTGTCTTAATCTAAATGTAAAGCAGTATCTTATATGAGCAACCTTTTGCTTGACAGTAGAAAGAATAAACTTTTTGAGTAAGCAAATCTTTTAAGAGCTCTAAAGAGATGGAAATGCCGATGAACCTCTTCACAGATGATGTCAGCAGAGTGTGCTGTGTCCATTTAATGTTGTACTATTTGGGGTTTCCAGCATTTTAGGTACATAAGATTATCTGTCTTTTTTCCTTTTTGTATTTTTTGTATTCTTTGTATATATCATGCAGATTCTGAGTGCTTTTCTTACTATCTTCACTACTGCATTACAGCTGGGTACCAAACCAGTTGAGTTTCGTTTGGGTCTACCAGTATTCTTTCTCAGATTTATACAATTATAAACAGGAAAGGAATAGAAAAGCATTTAGTATGTGACCTTGTTTCATAATAAGCATTCCTCCCCAGTGAAGCAGGCTTGCTTTTTGATTTTTATCACTCTCTTTTGCAAAACATTGTGCTCCAGGTAGTTACTAAAAGGTAAAATATCACCTATCAGATGCAGCTTCCCATGTGATCTATCACTAAAATGTCGATGCACAACAGCACTAAAGAACTGCAAGACAGAAAGCATTGAGCTTCACGGGAAGCTGAAAGATGCACAGAACTGCTGCATAGCTGCAATCTCTATCTATCTTCTATTCTCAGATGGTAGCTCTGCTGCTTGACTAATAATAGTGTGGTGTGACAATAAAGTCAGAATTCCAACAGGGTGAATATGATTAGTCTCATTCTCAGTGTATTTATGATACTCTAAACTGTCTGAATCAGTTGATCTGAATCTAATCTGTCTGAAGTACAGAAAACCCAAGCCTTCTCACTCCTCTTGCTTATTGTATGCACTTCAGAGATCTGTAAGATGAGCTCTATGCTAGTCAACACTGTAAAAAAAATCCACAATCTGTAAATACAGCTGTAGGAGAAAACATAAACAGAAAACCATAAACGTATTGATACATATAAAAGGAGTATAGGAAGAAACCAAAAAGCTATCTTTTCATCTTGTGTTTCTGAACCCTTGTTTAATTTCTCATACTTAACAATTAAGAATCATACAGTAGGTTGCACAGAATTTCAATGATGGAGGAGTCCTGGCACAATCTTCCATGTCTAGCAGAGTTGCTCCACATTCTGACCACACAAATCCTTATCCCTGAAATGATTTTGATGTCAGTATTTAAGGGAGATTTCTCCTTTGCAATCAACAACTTCCATTCTGGTACCTGCCAGGCAGCCCCCTCTCTGTCCTGGTAGCACAAAATTTCTGTGGGGAGAAAAAAAAAGCCTGCCAAGCGCACTCTACATTTAGGTGTTATTAGATCTCAGAACACAGACTCAGAGATAGGAAGTTTAGTCCACAACCCGATGGTTGATATCATTAAACCTTTTCCTATTAAGCTTTCTCCAGTTGCTGGGAAACTACAGATCACTGCAGTTAATGTCTTCTTCTGTGTCAGCAAGAAAAATACTGTTTGCTACATATCTGCCACTTACAAATATCTGTGTACTTCAGTCTGTTCCTAATGTACACTAACTCACTGACATGGCAGGTAATTACATTTCATGAACTTAATCACTTAATCACTAGGTCCCCAAATTGTTCTTAAATGGCAGGCTAAAAGCCCAGATTCTCTTTGTTGTCTGTCTTCCAACTACCACTTGCTAGAATCGTAACAGAGACTGTCTTCAAACCCTGCCTTCATAGTTCATTTGGAAGGTCAAAGTCTTCTGGAATTAATTACATTCAATCTTTTGGCACAGAAATACAGGTCATCAGTCACTGATATCAGCTATTGAACTCTAAGCATTCTAACAGTAATCAACTTTATGATCTTCAGCATAATGTACCCTATATCAGAAACACAAACTCTGAATGCTTCTAATTTCCAATAATCATCATCAGTTACACGAGACACAGCGTCAAATAGATAAACCGTTTGTAAATCGGAGTCCTTTATAAATGCTTACTGAAATGTAATTCTCAAAAGTGATCAAAAAAGACAAAATAGCTAAGTGCCCTTCCACATGGGCAAAATGGTAGAAAATTTAGCAGCAGCATCTAAATAAAACATTTCTGGCAACCAAATTTCATTTTCAAAAAGCTACCACAGAAACAAAGCCAACTCAGATTTTGCCTTCTCATGATATGAATCACACTTCGGTTACATGTTTTGCTTTCACTTATTCACAGCTCTTTGCTACTCTCAACTCCGCTAAAGAACAACAGCGAGTTCCAAACGTTGGTTGCTATCATTATTATTCTTGTGTAAAAAATGATATATAATCTTATGAAAGCTTAGTATAATGTCCTCATCATCGCATGCGTTCTGCAAGTACCAAAGTCCTGGCAGTCTCTAGTCAATTCTTAATTACACAAAAATCACATTTATTTAATCAGGAACAATTTTTACAATTTTGACTGGCTGCAGGTTTCAAGAGATGTTGTCTGTGTATTATAATTTCTTACTCATAAACTTATTCAAAGAGATTTTTTTTCATAAAAGCTGTAAAACAGTAACAGTGACCCTAAACATACATATAATGAATGAAAGCAGATTATCGTATCAGAGAAAGTGTTATTAAGGTCGATGCAGGCTATAAAATGTTGCAGTATGTTATATCATTAATTGTACTCACTTTCCCTTCATCTCTTGGGCTATCACTTAAATGTACAACTGGCCCAGGGTGAGTCTTAGTGGATCTGCAAGACAAAAATCAGTTCAAATCTGTGAAACTTCTCTTCATACAAAGAGCTAGATGCTTACCTTAATGCTAGGTGTGTTAATATGCATCTGCAACAACCTAAAAGTCTTTATAAAAAGTCCAAAGGGGAAGATAGTTATCTGAAAATGATCTATACACGTTCATGTTCAACTCTGTTCTTTCTTGCTCTGTTACAGGTAAAGCCCCTCATTGATGAATACTTTCTTCTTTTTTTAAAAAAAGAACAACTTACTTTTCACCCCATTATAGATTTTTTCCCCCTAATTTCTAAAGATTTTTTGCCTTTGCTTTTGTTCACTCCGTCACTTTCTGTCTGCCCTGCTCTCGACTGATTTCAAGGTTAATCTGACAAGGATATGCAGTCTTCACTAGATTCATTTCAGTAACTAATATCAAGCCTCACTAAGCTCTGATGTCATTAATGACAGAGATTCAGTAATCTCAAACACACTGCTCCATCAGCTAGCTTCTTAGAACTAGAGGGACTCTGGAAATTAAGTGTCTTGCCTTTGTTCAACAAAGCCTTATGTCTTCAGACCAACCACTACAGTTACATTCACAATGCATACTCAGTATAGCTCCTCAGCCATAAAACTCATCCTTTGAGTCTTTACAAGTTTCTGTATAGATTACTTTCTGTTCTTGCTGTTCCCTCTATTTTTGTACCAGGAACCATCAACTTATTATGCAGTTTAGTACAGAGATTGCTGCTCAAGTCACTGCCATCCAGCACCTGACAGCAAATGCAAGTAGGAAACCGAAGGAATGGATGAAGATTTTTGGACTGCCATCTTTTCTGACCAGACCTTTACACCCTGGCAGTCATACAAAGCAGACCAGCACTAAGTTCACAAAGCTTCAGACTATTTGACATGGCGAACAGGACTTTTCCTTCACTTATGCTCTGGGTCACAGCACACATCCCCTGCATTTCAGCTCAGGATCTAGACTTGCTCTCCCTACTTACATGACTGATCTGAATTTATCAAACACCAACAGAAAAATAAGTAAGTCAGAGATTGGCCAGGCCCATAAAGTTTATCTGGAAGCCACATGTAAAATGACTTAGCCAATAAACTGAAAAAAATTCTGCAAGAAAATTAAAGAAAAATCAAAACAAGCTTTTCCATCCAAACTACTCAAAGGAATTGCGTAAGAGTATTCAAATACTGAACTGTAGCAAAACTGGATATCAACCACTTTATTCTACCAGGAACAATTCCCAATCCAAATTGAGAGTAGTATACAAAAATTTCCAGGCATCTTGAACATTAAAACATTGCAGAGTAATCTGTACCCTCCTTCCCAAAGCAATCATCTAAACACCAGACAGACTTCCAAGAAAGGCTATACCTTACTTCCCTACAAGTATTTTAACATTACTGCTAGTTGAACAGGCAAGTCTGGTGGCAATCTGGCAGCATGTTCACATGGTGAACCTTCTTCATGAGGTGATTCCATGCCATCATCTCCAGCTTTTGCAGATCATGTTTCCTCAGTTAGCTGTAGCATTATACTTTGCTGCACGAGGTCTAGGTCAGTAAGGCTTCCACAAAGAACGATTTGCAACATATCCCAGCAAAATAGAGAGATTAGCAGAAAAGAGGAGTAAACCTATTTACAGTATATACGTTCTGTACAGAGTGCGTTTAATAGTGACAGCAGCAGGTACACACTTGGCTTAAATCATAGCATGCAACCATTTTATTTATTTATTTATTTATTTTTGCAGAGATGCAGGTAACAGGAGATCTGGCTATTCTTATCCCAGTCAGCTCCCCAAAAGGGACAGCCTCAAGCTGAACTTGTGCATCTGAGTAAGCTATACTGGAAAGAGAGAGACAGAACAAGGAATTTTCCATTTTAGACAGATAAGAACCATTTCCAACACACTGTGAATCCACTTTTCTCTCCTTTTTTGAATTTCTATGGGCAGTTCCTCACTGTTAAAAATGGTCCAGTTAGTCAGACAACAAACCTTGTTGACAAGTGCTACAGAAGAGGGAGCGGAGCCAAGCAAACAGTCATGGCAACATCAGCTGGCAACAGATAAAACGATGCAGGCAGGCATGACATGCTGGTTTTGGCCAGTTATTCCAACCCACCGAACTGATCATTATGCAGACTGAGTAGCTTGGCAATACAGGTGTTGGTATTTGACCAGGAACGTTAGCAAAACTGAGGAAAATGGAGGGAGAAAGGAAAAGTGTGTACTGTTCTTCTAAGACACAGGGTGATCCCTTCTAAGCTGCTGTTGGTATGTGCTAGTTGCAAAAGTCAAGAACAACTTAGATACATTTGCCCGAGCACTGTTTTCTTTTTAAGATGTATATGTAGTGCTCACTAAAGAACAAATTCATTTAGTTTTGAGTGGAAGCAAAGTGTTACATGAAAGCTGCAGCTGCTCCACATTACATCTAATGATAGGTTAGTTATACTTCTATTGCCACACAAGATATTAGCTCCTTTGAAAATGATACAAAACTGTTTTTCACTACCAGTCTTATTTTTATCTTATCCTTCCAAAGAAGTACTCTTTGATTTCCATATGAGACTTCAGCTAAAAGGAGTAATGTCACTCATACACCACATTTTCCTACCTCATTTCTCTGTCTTGAATCTACTGTACCACAGTAGTTGGAGGATCCTGGAATGTTTGCATCTGAAAAAGTATAATAAAATTTCGTCCTGCTTTTAATGAGATTCAACACTTTTTTGTTGTTTTAGGAGTAAAATGAGTTTTATTTATGAGGCTCCTAGATATTTGGTCAATTTTGCTGAGTAAGTGCTTCACATACAATCTCTGTAAAGTCAATGCCAATCACAGCAGCCTGTACACCCAATTTAGGAAATTTTGTTTTTCCGCATTCTTGTTCCTCTGTATTGAATATAAGCATTACCTTAATATTTATATTACCTTACTCTTCAGTACTGTAATAAAGTAGTTGTTTTGTATTATAACTAACTAGGTCAAGTTTCTTCCAATTTTATTATTTTAGTCTAGAAGGTATGTTACTCATCAAAAAGGTCAGTGAAGCATTCTTCTGCTTTCACACCTACACCAGCAGTTTTAGATTCAGTTCTTGTTAGCTTATTTGCATCAAATACAGGGTGTAGGATGTAAGGTACTGGTAGTGTGGAGGCTGCAGGGGTGGCCTTTGTGAGAAAAGGCCAGGGGCTGGCTTGTGCTGGACACAGACAGCTCCAGAAAACCCAATGCAGGACACAGCTTAACCCAGTAGCAAAGTTTGAGGTGCCTTGGGAAAATGTATTTAAGAAGGGTGAAATGCTGCACAGGCAGTAAGGAGTAATGACAACAATTGTGAGAAACTGCCCTGCAGACACCAACATCAATGAAGGAACGCAGGAGGTGCACCAGGGGCTGGAGCATAAGTTCCCCTGTAGGCCATGAAAAAGACTATGGTGAATTAGGTTGTCCATTTGCAGCTGAAGGAGGACCATATCACCAGACAGTAGCCTCTGGAGGATGCCACAATGAAGCAGTTGGGTATTTAAGAATGAGCTACAATCTATGGGGAGCCCACTCTGGCTCCTGAAAGACTAGTTCATGGGAAGATCCCATGAAGATGCAGGAAAAAATAGTATGAGGAAAGAGAGACAGAGAGGAATTGTTATAGACTGATTGCAACCCCCCATTCCACATCCTGTTGTGCTGCTTTAAATTTTGTCTTAATTTTCACCATCAACTTCTATTTTTAAATGGCAATAAACCAAATTTTATTTTCCTCAAATTGAGTCTCTTTTGCCCATTGACAGTAACTGCTAGTTAAACTCTCAGTCTTTACCTCCACCCATGAACTTTTTCACCTTATTTGCTTCCCCTATCCTGCTGAGGCAGGGAAATGAGGCAGTGGTTGTGTCAGGGTCTTGCAGCCAGCAAGGGTCCACCCACCATAAATTCCTTAATTGTTCAACAGCTGTCAGTTTTGACTTCATACAGGTAGAAGAAAACAGTGTTTACTAAGTTTGGCAGTCATAGTACTAACTCTGTCAGAAAATGAGTAAGAATTTTTTTTTAACAATTGGGCAGCCTAAAACTCATTTCAGATTTGCTATCACAGATAACGTTACACATGGAATTTCTTGAGTGATGACAGCTGATGTTACTGAAGCATTCTAAGATTGGAGAGCCTGCTCCCTGGCAGTCTTTCTGCACTAGCACTTCCAGTGCTCCAAGAAATACTGCTTTTTGTCCACAACACACAAAGCATTTTGTGCATCAAAACTGATTCCTCTTCAGTCTAAACAACAAAAAATAGTCACAAGGTGCAGCACAAAGCTTTTAGTTTGGCTTTGCAAGAGACATGCAGTCCATGTTGGAGGACATGTCTCAGGAATGATATGCTGATATGATATACAAAATTCCACTTCAGATGGAACAGGAGAGAAAAATGAATGAGACTTAACTTTCTCCATTCTGCATGGTCTTTCCCTTATTCCTCTGAACCTAACATCTTGCTGGATATAAGAGAGGGATATGATAAATCTCCACCTTCCTGCTCCTGTTGAAGTGATATTTGCTCTGCCCTAGTGCAGGACTGTGGCTAAGAACGCAAAGCTAGCTGTCCATGCCGCACATTAAGATGAACAAGAAATATGCCAAAGGTAGATCAATGCCTTACTTGACATGCATCTTCTTGTATCTTCAAGAAAAGCATTAACAAGCAAATAACAGCAATGTTTTCTGGAGCACTAAAGCAGTGTTGCATGTAAAGGGGCTGCCAGTCACTAGGCTCTATAAACAATTTCTCCTAAGGGTAGACATAATGACTGCACTACAAATAGGATTATATAAAGCAATTATTTAGCTAATTTAGTTAGTTTACAGAACTCATGAAACACTACTGGAGCTACAGCTACAGTAACTGCTACTTTCATCTAGCAAATTATATTGCATGTGAAAATGTGTACACACAAAAACATTTTGCCTCATGTAACTATAGTATACATACTGCA